CAAATAAAAATAACCCTTCAGAAAATACGGTCTTACAAGAGCCTCAAGAGTAAATTACAGGGGCGCCTGGGTGGCTCAGTTGGTTAAGCGACTGCCTTCGGCTCGGGTCATGATCCTGGAGTCCCGGGATCGAGTCCCGCATCGGGCTCCCTGCTCAGCGGGGAGTCTGCTTCTCCCTCTGACCCTCTTCTCTCTCGTGCTCTCTATCTCTCATTCTCTCTCAAATAAATAAATAAAATCTTTAAAAAAAAAAAGAGTAAATTACATTTGTTCTCAATGCAAAATGCATGCTCATCTCATAAAGTGAGTATGCTACTAGTTATATTGTTCAAATTATATAGGTAACTGATCTAAATGACAACTAGATAACTTTTAAAATATAAACAACTTTAAAAGGCTAAGGGAAATGGGGCATTTTGGAATAAGCAGAAAATTCAAACTTGGAAGTTTACTGGCTGAATGAATGACCTGAAGTCACTTAAATCTTGCTGAATAACAGTTTCCTCAAAGCTTAATAATGAATTTTACTACTTTCTTGTTACTATTTACATTACATAGTTATTAGCAGAAGCCCTCTTCCCTTCTACAGTCTCTACCTACATTCTCTCCTAGGTAAGTTCAGTTGGTCCCATGGCATTTACAATTTTTAAAAACTATTTTATATGGCACTGTATTCATCTGTTCAAAATTTGAAAGGGACAAAAGCATGTACAACGCAAAATCTCCCTCCCTCTCACCCTTGTTCCTTAGCCATGCAGTTCCTTTCCTTGGAGGAACCACTGTCTCTAATTACGTGGGTCCTTCCAGAATTAGCATAGGCTATCTTTTTAAACAAATGATAGTATACTGTACACGTTGTTTGAAATTGTGCTCTTTTTCACTTGTGTCTTGGAGATCATTCTACTGTAGTATATAAAGAATCTTCTTTGTCTTTTTTTGGGAATACCTTTTCCATTCTATTGATACATCATAATTTATTTACTGATTTACTGAAAGACATTTAGACAGTTTCCAATCTTTTGCTGTTACAAACAACACTCTAATAAATAACCTTGTATATCTGCCGTTTCACATGAGTGAATATATCTGCAGGTGAAATTCACAAAAACAGAAAAGCTTTAAGTTCTACTTCTTTAAATGCTATCAATTCATTCAATAGGGGTTCAAGGTACTGGGATATAGGAGTGAATAAAAAAAGATAAACTACCACCGTTACATTCTACTAGGGGACACAGACAACAAATAATTAAAAAACAAGTTCTATTGTTTATCCAGATAAATAATGAAAAATAAAAACTAAACCTATATTATATTATACTCTAATATAGTATGTTAGAAGATGATAATGCTATGGAATAAAAACAGATAAGGGAAGAGGACTAGGGAACGCCAAGGGAGAGGGTTATAGTTTTTGTAATAGATTATTACTTACGTAATAGCTTATCTGCTGGTATAAATAGGTGATTATTTATCCATTAGATTGGGGGGCAGGCCCCCCTGAGAAACGACGTAGTACGCCACGCAGACAGCCAGGACAAGAACATTCTGGGCAGAGCAAAGAACCCACACAGAAGCCCCGAGACAGAAGACTGCCTGGTGCTGAGAAGCAGGAAAGCTGTCAGTGTGACTGGAGCACGGGGGGGCCAGGGGGCGGATGGGAGATGAGGGAAAAGCTTGTTGGGCCTTGTAGGCCACCGTAAGGATTTAAGCTCTTTCTCTGAGTACAATGGGAAGTTTGTAAGATCTGAATCATGGTAACAATCATTTCCTTAATTGCCACACGGAGACCAAATTGTAGGGGGGCAAAGTTGGAAGCAGAGAGATGATTTAGGAGGCAACTGCAAGAATTCAGGCAAGAGAGAAGGTGACAAGGGTAGTAGCAGTGGTGGTGGCAAGAGTGGTCTTGCTGATGGAGGCAGCGTCAAGAGGATCTGTTGATGGATTGTATGTGGAATGTCAAAGGAAGGAGTCCAAAATTTTGGCTAGAACAATTAGGGAAAACAGAGTTTCCATTAACTGCAACAGGAAAGACAGTGTATGGAAATTTGGGGGATGATCAGGAGTTTTAATTTTGCAACTATTAAGCCTGAGGTGTCTACTGGATACCCAAGTGGAGATTCTGAGTAGGTGGTACAATGTAAAAGTGTGAAATTCAGGGGAGACGTTTAAGCTGGAGACATAATTTGGAAGTTTATACACTAATGATTACCAAAAGTAGTCCTGATGGCACCCCTATATTCCAGAGGCACATCCAACTGCCCATGTAATTTCTTCATTTAGATACCTCATAGGAATCTCAAACTCAAGTTGTCCGAAATGAAACTATCAATTTTTTCCTAACCCCAAACTTGTAGTCTTTCTTGGCTCAGTGAATGGCACCACTGTTTCACTATGTGGTTCAGGCCTAGGAATTCTTGATTCCTCTTCTTCCTTCACATTGAAATCTAATCCAGCAGCCAGCTCGATCAACTCTACTCTTTAAATGACCCAATATCTGACCACCTTTCTCTACGTTCCCCCTGGTGCAAACCATGCTCATCTCTTCCCTGAACTCCTGTGACAACATTCTAACTTGTCTCTTTCTTTCAGAGGTGGGCCAACTAAAGTCTCTTCTCAATATACAGGCCATGATGATCTTTTGAAACATGAATCCGATACCTGGCACATGAGTCGGATCACATTTGGGTGTCACAGTAGACAGTGAATACTTGTTGCATAAATACTTGATGGATGAATGTACATTCACCTATGTTCTAAAGCAAGGTTAGCACACTTTTTCTATAAAAGGTCAGAGGGTACATATTTTCATTTGCGTAGGCAATATGGTCTGTGTTGCACCTACTCCACTAAGGCACAGAAGTATTCACAGACAGTGCTTTCAAAGAATGAGTGTGACTATGTTCCAATAAAACATTCTTTACAAAAAGGAGGTAGGTAGTTTGCTGACCCCTGCTTCAAAGTTTAAATACTACAGTAGCTTCCCGTCACCCTTTGAACCACCATGAGAATAAAACGTAAATCCCTTATCTTGGTCTACAGGGTCCTGGAAGATCTAGCCTGTATCTGTCTTTCCTCCATCTCCTACTATTTTCCTATTGACTTATTTTACCTTTTTTTTTGCAATTTCTCAAATAGTCTCAGCTTTTTCTGTCTCCAAGCCCTTGGTATTTGCTGTTTCCTCCACCTGGAAAGTTCTTCATCCAGATCTTTGCATAGGTCATGCCTCACCGTCCTTCCTCAAAAGCTACCTGATCAGAGAATGTTTCCCTGACAGTCCAGATTATTTTCCAGTCCCCATGATTTTTGTTTCTCTTCATAATATTTATCATTATCTGAAAATATATCACTTATTAATTTTTTGTTTACTTGTTTATTGTCTCCACTAAGAGGTATTTCTACGAGACAAGGATTTTGCTTATCTTGTCGCTTTATCTACAGTAACTAGAATAAGGTCTTATAAATAGCAGATGCCTAATATCTCCTAGATTCATGAGTGGAAATAAAAGTATTTTAGAATATGTAAAGTGCCATCCAAGTAGCTGTACTTGTTATTCTTTTTGGAGAGAGGGGATGAGAAGTGAAAGGAAGGGAAAGATATAAATAGGGTGTTGGAGGAATATCACTGGCTTACAGTCGTGGGTTTGATTCCTCGGGCCAGTGTCTAAGTATCTGAGAGACTCAGCTTCCTTTTTTCTAAAAGAAAGACGTCAATGTCTGGAAGTCGGTTCTAAGGATTGATGAGGTAATACCAAAACAAACAAAAATCATGAGAATCGATGTTGGTTCATTTGCCAAATTTTCCTTTGTTTTAGCTGTAATGATGTGTAGTGCTTAAGATACTTCTATCAATTAGACGTTTTCAGAAACTGAATTTAACCTAAAAGAAAACTTTATTTTCAAATAATTTTAGGTATAAAAAAAGTTGCAAAAATAGTACAAAGAGTTCCCATACACTCTTCACCCTGGAATTGAACTTTTTGAGTTATAGATTTCTGTGTTTCCATTGGATAAAAGAAAAAGAGAAGCAGACTCATTTAGGCCCTAAATAATATCCTAGCAGCTTGACAAAGTAGTACAATTTCTAATATTTATTTTTAGGGAAGTGTCTCTGAATTGAAAAAATTCAGTTTAATCATGTAAAACAGATAAAAGTCCCCTAAGAGATTATGTAAACTAATGGCCAAATGCATCAGGTCTTTTCTTCTCATTCCTTAGGGGACCTGGCGAATTGTTAGCACTGTCACAGTGTATCCATTTTAAACAAAGTCAAACTATTTGCAAGTTTCTCTTGGAGAGATTAACTTGATCCTTCTATAAACACAAATAGAAGGCAATATATCCAAAACATCTCATGCTTGAAGGGGTACTTCTAACACCAGTTCTATTTAGTTGCAATGATGCATTCAAATACCACTAGGTAATGCAACTGCTCAGAATTGCTGACAACACATTTGCTGCTAAACAAACAGACAATCAGTTGTCCAGGGTTCTTAACCATTCATGCCATCCAAACTCTTTGAAAAACCTCACTTCACTTGCTGATAAGATCACTCACTCATCAATGGCTGTCTTCAAATGACCTTTTATTAAGGATATTAGAGAACAAAGTGTGACTGAAATGATGTCACTATAAACTGTTTCATAGGAGGGGATGTTTATGTAGTAGTCAAAGCATGTATTCAGCAGAATTCTCTTCAAAAACGATATTCATAATTTGAATAAAACAACTGCTAATAAACTTAATGGTTTTCAGCATATCTAAGAAAAATGTGGATCTCTATCCAGAATTTTACATTAATTGATCTTTAAAAAAAAATAATAAAAAAAAATAAAAATTTAGCCAGAGCACCTAGGACACTGAGGAAAAAAGAATGAAATATATCCAAAATATCTATTAATCCACAGAGGAGAAAAAGAACTAAGAAACAATATATTCTATAGACCTATATAATTATAAAATAATATCATATGTAATAAAATAGATATGGGAGATTAGATACCTTTTCTTCAGGTATACTGTAACGCACATTTTCCAAAAACACTGATGTGTTTTCCACATTTGTATATCGTAAAAGAATATGAGCAAAATCTTCTTCACTGATAGTGTTCATCCCATTAGAGTAGGAAAGGAATTCTATTTCTAGAACTTCTGTCTGTAGGTTATCCATGAATCTATGACAAAAATATAGAAAGAATGAATAAGATAAATGAAGAGTGATGGCAACAGATGATACTTAGCCTCTCAGGGCTCTGGCTTCCTCATCTTTAAAGTGGGGACAACAAAAAGACCTTGCAGGGTAGTGATGAGACTTAAAAGAGTTATTGTGAAGTGCCTGGTGTTTACTACAGAGGACAGTACATCCATGCTTATCACTATGGCTTATACTTTCTTAGGAATATACAGGAAATAATCCAGATATCCAGGCGTTTCTTATCATTCAGTAACTTCCCATTATACTTATCAATATAATGACTAGTATTACAGGTATTGATGGAAGCGCTCGTTTGTTAGACAGTATCTTCAGCTCTGACGAAATCAGCAAAGAGGTGAGTATTTCTGCACCAGATGATTCCTAAAGACCTTTCTGACTTTAGCATGTTAACATTTTTCAAAACAAATATAAAATTAAGCTCACCTATAAAAATCTTCAAAGTTGAGCTCAGCTTTTCCTTTCTTTCCAAAAAAGTGTACAAGAAGTGTAGTATCTGTTACTAAACTTGTAATGTCATCAGCACGCTTAAAAAATTACAATTTAAAGGTTAGCTGCAGTAAACAAACAATAGGGATGCCCAATGTCCCTCAAATAATTTTATCAACATATAAATACCAAGAACATGAATATGTTAACATTAGAATGAAAAGCATAAGACTGTATTAATAAATGCCATTACAGTTAAAATGAAGTTCAATATTTGAAAATAGAAATATGACTGAAATTGATCTTTATCCTACAAAATTTTAAAGATGACTATATTTTAGGAAGTTTTCAACCTCAAATTATGCATATAGAATACCCATGTTTTAAATTATCTAAAATAGTTGAAATCTTTTAGTAATCACCTAAATGTTTTATCTTTAAGTCATTTAGTTTGGATTTTCCTAATCAACCTAAAAAAATCAGTTTTTTTAAAGGATGTTCAAAAGAGGTAAATTCTTCAGATATATGAAATATATGGGGCTGACAAAAGAATGGTCTTACGCTTCACAAAATAGTTTCCTTTGAACATGATACTTTCCTATTGTATTCCATATTTATGATACTTTAAATAGAAGATACCATATTTTGAAAGAGAAACTATACTACTATTATTTTGGAATTTACATAATCTATAATTTTTTTAAAGAAAAGTTTACATTATTTTTGAATGGATAAGAGAATAATTCCAGAGGACTTTGTCCTTCAAGTTCCAACAAGTGTATTCTTAGAATCACTTGTCTAGTCCTTATAAAGTTTAATGACCTATGAAAATAGTCCTTCTTTTCTTTAATGTGGTGACACAGATTTCCCTTTTTTTTTCCTCCCTCCCCTTCCATCCCTTCTCTTCTTCCTCTTCTTTACTTCCATTAACTCATATCTATCCTATAACTCAGGTACAAAAATCATAAAATTCAAATGATTCTAACTCTCCTATATATTATCCTGGGAAATGTAAGAAAAATAAGAGATTAAATAATAACTAACATTTTCTGTATTAAAAAAAATAGCTGTAAATGTCCATCCAAAGGTACATCATGTCTGAAATGTTACTTCTTGGCCAGAATTCTGCTTCAGAGAAAACCTAAGAAATGAAAAGTATATACTTCTCTACGAAGGATAAGTTGTGTCCTATGATCCCTGACGAAAAGTCTCATCTTACTCATAGTCCACACACTTTTGGTAATCTTTTGATTCTTTAGAGCTCTCTTCCCAATTTTTCATCAAGACAGCTGTTCTATCCTTCATACCATTTGTTGGGTCTTTATTTCCCTTCTCCCTAGACCAAATATTATTAACTTCTAATGACTAGTTTGGCGTTATAAAGAGTCCATCTTGTGATTGGTCTTTTTCCCTCCTATGTGCCTTTTAATCCCTCTTTTTAAGTGGTCTCTTTGCTACTTTGACTACTCAGGTCTCTCTTGAAACCTCCAACATGTAGGGTATCTTCTACTTTAAATTATCTAAAATTGTTGAAATTCTTTTAGTAAATTGTGTAGTCTTACTTAGGTTTGTTTAGCTTGTTTTCCTAAGTAATCTTAGGATTACATATATATATTATCTAGCATATAACCTCCTTAAAATTGTTTTGAAAGATCTCTACTTAGTTTAAGTTTGCTGACAACTCCCAAGTATTTTCAGGAGTTGGAATAACTTAGAAGTTTCCTATGTATCTCCAACTTCTTCGAAGATCTGATTGCCAGGGAGGAAATAACAGCCTGGAAGCCAAGTGCCACATACTATCTTATGCCTTCCTGAACAAGCTTATAATGGATGCTGAGGAATGTGAGTGGTGCCAGCCTTTCAGGGCTCCACCTGTGACAACAGACTAGGATAATTCTGAGTAGTGCTCAAAAGGCACTATTACTTTCACCAGTAGCTTTATGTTGCAGAGGCTGACTGCTGTAAGGAGAGGATTTAAAAGCAGACCTGAATTCACAGAGTTTTTTGACCTTTAGCTTCCTTATCTGTAAAATAGGCATAAACCTATCTACAATAATGATTTTGAAGATAAAATTAGACTCTGAGTGTAAATGAAGCGTACAAATGTTATTATTGGCAGTCACAAGATGCTTTGGCATATAGCATTAAGACCTTTGGGGAAAAAAGGAAATATCTCGTGTTAATTGTAAACATTCCGTTGTGATTGTGTATGATCAAGTCTAACCCATTATTACCCATGGAATAGCCTCAGTAAATTGGGGGAGAAAATATTTGAGAAGGCAGGCCTAAATGGAGCACAGCAGTGGAGGCTCTATCGAATCGGCAGGCAACATTAGGAACTGGGGTATCCATCTAGAAGCTAGAGGACTGGAACGTGGTGGGGAGATAAAGTTGATCAGAAGAGGGGCCATGGTGTCTTAGACAAGTCACTGACTTCACAAATAAGCAGTGGGGTGGTGAGCACGTAAGATGACGAGCCCAAGACTCAGATTTCTGGCTTTGAATTCTGACTTTTTTCCTTATTAGTTAAGTGACCTCAGTGACGTTAATCTCTCTGAGGATATTACTACCCTCAGTAATAACAACAGTACCTACCTTAAAGTGTTGTTGTGAGGATCAGGTAACACATGTAAATCATTTAGCACTATAACTGGCATATTGTAAATGCTCAACAAATATTATTTATTTTTGCCAAATCAATATATTTCAAGAAGTTGAAAAAGGACAAGACAGAAAAGATAATAATGTTGAAGCTTAATGCAAAAAAAATGTTTTACATGGCACACTCTTACTTTTTTGTTAACTGAAACTACACATATGTTATATAGATCTGAAAAAAAAATGCCTTCAAAGGAGAGGTCACAGGAACACCCAAAGTTAGTGAACTCAGCTAACATAATTATGAAATGTTTTCCTTTAGTGCTGTGATGTCCTTTACCTCAAAACCTAAAACAGTGAAATGAGGTGGCTTTGTTTCATACAGGTTTTCAATAATGACCTCATTCTTCCAGCTTTTCTCATGCCCACTGAGCAGAGCAGATCTTCGTTTACAGTCTTTCATCATCAAAATCTTATTAGACTTAGGTTGCACTTATCCAGATAATCCAGACCCACAGAGGCATAAGTAACAGTTTGACATTAGAGAAAAAAAATTAGAAAATGGAAATGGTGAAAACTTTTCTCCCCCCATTCAATGAAACAGAGCACTGTTGGGAGTCATTGAAAACCATACCAGTGTCCTTAGTATCTTAACAGTGTTATATAACTTAAATCACAGGGGAGTTGGGACAAAAATAGAGACTTTATCCCTTTGATTCTTGTGCCCATTGTTAAAATAAAATGAATTCAGGTGTTTTCATAACAAAGCAAGAAAAAGCCACAAAAGAATCCGCATGGGCCATTTACATGAAAGGCCCTTACTTTGTTGTGATTAAAAATTACTTTAAATGATTTCATCAAAAATAAAATAGATAAATGAATTTGCATGGGATTAAAAATATGTAAAAATATTACAGATTTTTAAGATACCTTTAACTTATTTTTATTGATTATAATGGGATAATAATCATATCAAACTCTATCCAAAGGGTGGGGGGAGGGAAATCAAGTAGATTTCTAAGCTTTCTTTCTGAACCAATTTGAATCCTGAAATACTTATAAACAATTCAATGTTACCATGGCATCAGTAGTAACCTATAAAGAATTTCAATGAGTTGTAACTTAAAGTTAATTCTCAATTATCCTCTCTCATGTGGGAGGGTAGTAAGAGATAATCCCCAAATAATTATTTTATTTTAGAACACAATGTAAGTTTTGTTTTCTTCTTTCTTCTATCAGATTTACTTTCATAATGTTTGAATCAGTTTATTAATTAATTTAGTAGCTTATGATTATAATGTGGATTGATTACAGCCAATGGTATGCTAGTAAATTAGCTCTTTAGGGAAAAAAAAAAGCCTGATTTGTAGTGTTTGCCTATTTCTATGGTATTAATACTTCTATCATGGCCACTTTCAAGTACCAACAGGATGTCACGGATGTTGAGTTGGGAGGAGATGTACAGAATTAACTCTAGGAAGCCATAAAAGCCAGCTCCAAGCACACCTCTGACAGTTTACATCTCGAAAAGGTCTTATGCATACCATGTAATCTCTGAGTGTATGTAAGAGCTAACTGGTCTTCTGATATTAAACCTCCCAAGATCTGAATTAAATTCAACATCAAATCAGTGGATTGTGTCTAATTGTGAGAACCTCTAGCAGAGTTAAATTAGATTAAAGATAGGCTGGAGGCTGAGGTGGACAGTTTAGGATGGAGAGAGAGCAGTGACATGACTGTTAGTTTGAAGCTAGGTCCCAGATGGCTTGAAGGACTCTTGGGCCAATGTCCCCATTTGCTCTTGTTTTTAGGCACTGACTACTATGTGCCTGCATAAATGATTACAGAATTAAGAACTTCTAAAATACCTTACATGAAACACCTATTACCACTTTATGACTAAAATATGGTTCAAATTTAAAAGGTAATTTTAAAAGGTTATTTACTGGTCATAGTTACATCATATTTACATATCAGAAGTAAATTAGAGAAAGGGCAAAATGCTTTATTTGTTTTGGGATTTTAAAATTGAACACGAGTGACAAAATTAACATTTCCAAGTATCTGTCCCAGTCTAGAGGTGCCAACTGAGTAACACTACGTACGGATAACAGAAGTCACACCTGATTTCAGTTTACTTCTCTAGATATTTTTAAATGTAATTTTTAAAAGTCAAATTTTAGAAAAAAGAAATGAGAAGCCAGCTTTAAAGAGAAAAATAATGAAAAATATCTCAGTATTAAGACTGATAGTAAAGTTTTAAAAAATTCTTAATAGGATATATGAAACAGTGTTTAACGTAGAAGACATAGCCCATCTTTTAAAATGGCAAATCCCTAAAAACAAAACAAAACAAAAACCCAAAACAAAATGACAAATCCCTAGTAACACTGGCATGCTGAGTGGGCGGGGGGGGGGGTGGGGGGAAGAGCAGCTCACCCGAGTGCTGCAATAAGGTGCATGTCTCTATGCAATTCAAAAACAATAATGAATAACAGTTGGTCTGTTTTTAGTTTTCTATGCAGTGGCAATCCAAAATAATGTCAAGTTAAAATATTCCTTCCTTCCTTGATTGGCTGCTCCTACCATACCTCCCTTACTCACCATTGGTAAACTACACACACAACTAGTATTCGGAAATTTAATGTTTAAATCTACCATAACTCTAAAGCACTAGCTGTCTTTTTCCAAGTTGAAAGTTTCAGCACTTCATGTAACATGGCAAAATTATAAGGTTAAAAGATTCAGTGAAACTATAAAATAGTATTCTCAAATTTCTGAAAGTGATCCTTAAATTAAAAAGAGCGATATTTCTTAGTTAAGTCATGTTTTTTACAACAGGCAAGCTGACTTAACACAGACTGTTATAGGTAACCTTGCAGCCCCTGCCAGTGTAGCAGACATATTTGAATCTATCATTTATATATAGAAATTACTGCTTTACTGAAGAAAACGGAAAATATAAAATTATTTTTGGTTTCATCATTGTAACACTAAAATGAAACGAAGACTAGTTTAACAAAATGGCAAATAGTACAAGGTCCTGATTGAGGTTTAATTATACCTCTGCGAGGTCTGAAAAGAGTGCTTGGCTTGTATTACGTCTCAGTGTATCCCAATAGCTTCTGGAGACAAGTTCCTCAGCATCTGTTTTAAGTACCTGTAGAAGTTTTAAGAAGTACATCTGAAATCTAAAGAATAGTCACAAAGAATGATAATTTATACACTTTTAAGTCTCTTCTAGCCAACCTTGAAAAGAAAACACATTAGCTTACCTGTTTTGTTTTCTGCTGCGCACAACAGTATTATATTACATTGCTGGTAAACCCAGGGTATTTTCGAAGGTGTAATGGTATATAACCACTATTTCCACATACAATGTGGCTCTGTCAAAAAGGATCACATTCCTCAGTCCTCCCCCATGTTGTCTACTGAAACATGCATAACTTCTAAGAAAGTGTGAAATAAAAATTTTATTCACACCTTATGTGAAGTAAATTCATTTGGGCAGTATTTTGGTAATTTTGTAGCAACCTATAAACATCATGCTTAATTTAAAAATCAATTATTATTGGCTAGTGTACATCGCATCAGTGCATCAAAGAAAATGACCACATTCATAAGTAGAGACACAAAATTTAAATCAATCTAAAACTTGTCAAAAAGAAATATGCCAGTTTAGGTTAAACCAAACTAGTCAGGGATTTGGTAGGTATGTCTACTGTGAATAAATAAGGTACTTTCTAACCTTTTGCAAAGATAGAACACTAGCTTCTGTCTCAGTATTGGCTAATCTGAAGAAGGCGAGATCACAATTAAGGGCAGTCTAATCTTCATATGAAAACATAGAACTACAAGCTTAATTTGGGTCTCTGTAAACAAACATAATTAAATGCAGTTTCTGTCAGGATTTATCAGGGAAGATTTCACATGTTCGCAGGCTTGGTATTCTGGTTATTATGAGAAGAAAATGCATGATGTACGCAGGAGTGAGTGTCTAATGATGAGAAGAACTTTTATTTTTGTGTGTGTTAATTTTTAAATCTGGTGCCACTAACAAAATTACAATATGTTTGGGAGTTATTTCAAAAAACTAAGCTTTAGTTCATTATTATTAATTAGAAAAAACACTGCCTATTGCCCATATTTTAATAAAATCTTAATAATAAAGTATTATTTAGCAGGAATCACTTATATAAACATAAACATACTTATTACCATCAGTGTAAATGCAGCAATATGTTAGAGAATCCACTCACCACACCCTCTAGTAATAAAACAAGCTTTAATAACTAAGCAGTTATAGGTCAAATAAAATTAGCTGAATTTAGAGCAAAGTTCATTTTTTTTTATATAAGTATGGTAGAACCTCAAATGTTAACTAGATTAAATACTCTGCAAATATTATCTCAATATTTTTAATTTGGATACATTTTTTATTGTAACTGAAAAGGTCAGTATATGATAAAGAAAGGAATTATTAAACCTATCAAACTAGAAAATCAGGCTGACTACACTGTTATTTGAAGGGTAACAGGAATGACTGATTCACTTTGTGAAGCAATGCCTCCTTCCTTCTTCCAACACTGGTCACCATCACCACTCACACACTCACATATGTACACAGACCAACACTGATGACATCAGAAGGATGTTCACAATGTATTAAGGGATAAAAGTAGTTTGACAAACTATATTGATATGGATCTCTATAGAAAAAAATACATTTTCTGAGCTTAGAAAAGAAGTAAATATATTTGAATATACCAATTATCTCTGGTGAGATTAGGATATGTTTTATTTTCTTCTTTTTGCTTTCCTATATTTTAAAATATTTTAACAATATATATTTATCTATCAGGATCATATACTACTTTTTTCAATAAAAAAATCTTATTTCGAACATAACAGCTTATTGGTCCCTCCTGCAGAAAGCTTTCACACTCAACATTTAGCTTCAAAGATTAAATTATGATAGAATATATAACTGAATTGCTATAACTGCTTATATATGTTGTTTTGTACAGGCAGTCTTTTAGATTAGAGTTTCTGAAAAAAGGAACAATAGTCTCACAGCAACTATTTTCATTCTTTGTATTAAGGGAAAAAAAGCTCACGTATCAGTGATTTTCTCAGCACAGTCATAGATTCCTAGATGTGTGTTTGTTCAGGAGCCAGTATTTAATTTTTTAATGGCTTGGGTGACGAGATTGAGAGTAAATTTTCAGAACATGCAAAACGAGTAGAAAACTTTAACGTCAGAAAAGTGTAACACAATATTTAAAATAAGCTTAAAGTAGCAATGAAAATCACAATAGATTTTACAGCAAGAAATGCAAAGCAAATACAAAACCAGAATATATGCCTACAGACTAAGGAAAGACTGAGAAGAGAAGTGCCCAAATATCACTAACTGATGGCTATGAAATAGATATTATAATGCTCTGATGTAAATATAGGAAAATTTGCAAAGACTTCCTGAAGTCTTCTCAGGGTCTTTGATTACTATACAAACTTTAGGTCTCTTTACTAGAATGTTAAGGTAGGTGAAGACTTTTATTAAAAAAGGTAAAACAAGACATAGATAGTTCATAAGAACTTCAAAAATGGATGGCACAGGAAAAATGATGTCCCAAAAGTACTGTATTCTGTAAGCCTGACACATTTTTTGCCTAAGTTTAGAGTCTGTTATTAGTAGAACTTCCTTTAAGTTTGAAGTTTGGTCAAGAATTCCCTCTGAAAAATTCTTAGGTTGAAATCCTAACCTCCAAGGCGATGGTATTCGGAGGAGGTGGGGCCTCTGTGAGGGGAGTAGGTCATGGGGGCAGAGCCTTCATGAATGGGACTAGCACCCTTATAAAAGGAACTGAGAGAGTTCCTTTGTCTCCTTCCCACCACGTAAGGACACACTGAGAAAGTGCTATTTATGAACTAGGAAGTAGGCCCTCATCACCCACCACACTGCATCTGCCAGCTACATGATCCTGGACTTCCCAGCCTCCAGAACAATGACAAATATTTGTTCTTCATAAGCCACCCAGTTTATGATATTTTTATTATAGCAATATGAATTGACTAAGACGGAAGGAAGGAAATAAAAGAAGGGAGAAAGGAAAGACAGGAGGAAAGAAGAGAAAAGGAAGTTAGGAAAAAAGAAGACTGATTTCAAGAAGGGAATATATCACTGTGGTAAGCAGAATAATGGTTCCCTAAAGTTGTCTGCCTGCAGACAAGTAAATAACCTAGTTACAGTTAGAATCTGAGAAAGATTATACTCTGAGATTAGGCAAACTGGGAAAACAAAAACAAAATAGCAACCCATAGAATCAGACACTAAACTGTCTTTATTATTAGTGATACTCAAAACACAGAAAAAATAAAAACAATAAAAAAGCCTATATAATCTGTGCCATTATGACAACTGTGGCCTGAAAAACTATAATGTGAGACTTGTAATTTAAAGTTACATAGGACTGCCGTTTTCCACAGAAACACACACACATAAACACACACCCACATACACCCACGCACACCCCTTCCCGGAAAAAACACACGTTTAGCCCAGTCCCTAATGAATCTCCACAGACACATTCCAACAAATATATGCTCAAAATACAAAATTACTAAACACATAAGAACATAAACCACCATAAGTGAGAACCAACAGAAACAACAAACAATAGAACAAGACCTGCAGACTTCAAATATTGAAAATAGTAGGTATGGAATACAAAATAAGTTTAATAAGCTTAAAGAATATGAAGCTGTATTTTTCAGTAAGAACAGACTACCAAAAATTAGGTGGTTGATCAGAAAAAGAACCAAATAAAACCTCTGGACATTAAAGATGGAACTACTGAAATTTAATATCATATTATATATAGGTAGGGATAAAATTAGTGAACAGGAATATAACATGTATAACTTATACAGAAATGCAATGTGAAAAGATAAAAATATGGCAAATTATTAAAGAGAAATTAAGAGACATAGAAGAGAACATGAATATCTATGAAAGTTCCAGAAAGCAATTAACAAAGAAAATGGGAAAGAGACTATAATATCCAAAGAAATATTGGCAGTGAATATTCAAGAATTAATGAAAGAAAACAATCCCCATATTTGAGAAGCCTGGTAAACTTCATGATAGATAAAGGCAAAAAGAGAGATACACTGTAGTAAAATTGTAGAATACTAAAGGCAAACAGAATCTTAAAAGTAGGTAGAAAGAAAAACAAGATTAACTACAAAATAATAATTAGACTCAGAGCTGACCTTTCAATTTCAATAATAGGAACCAGAAAACTGGAATGATATAATTTGCTGAGAATAAATGTCAACCTACAATTATATATCTAATAAAATTATCTTCCCAAATAAGAGCACAAGTAAATAAAGATAAAAAATGAATTTATAGAATCAGAATAGATTGGGAGTTGCTAGAGGCAGTTGGTGGTGGTGCGGGGTGGATGAAGATGGTTAAAAGGTACAAACTTCTAGTTATAAGACAAATAAGTCCTGGGGATGTAAGGTACAGCATGGTGACTATGATTAATGATATTGTATATTGGAAGTTGCTAAGAGAGTAGATCTTGAAAGTGCTCATCACAAAACAATTTGTAACTATCTGAGGTGACAGAGGTCAACTAAACTTATTATGGTAATCATTCTGTGATATGTACCTATATTAAATTATGTTGTACACCTTAAACTGACATAGTGTTATATGTCAATTATATCTCAATACAACTGGGAAAAAATAAGGGCAAAATCAAGATAATTCCAGAAAGATCCTCACTTGAGGATGTACTTTCTGAGATTAAGATTGTAAGAATTAGAATGAGATTAAAACGGAGATTAAGAAATGGCAAATATGTAAGTAATTCTAAACTAATACTGACCGTATATATTTAAGACATCTAATTTGTGGGATTAAAAAAAAAAGAAAGACAAGAAAAACAAACACTGTATAACCTCAAGTATCCATGCCAGGAGGGAAATGAAAGCCATCGAAGCACCCTTAAGACTATTTTTAAGGAAGGGGTGAAGATACGGCCTATCTAATAAGACTTCATTATTTTAAGTATACTTATTATTAAAATTTCAAGAGTAACTATACAAGACATAGAAATATGGTGTCTTCTAAACTAATAGAGAAGAAAATAAAACGAGTAAAAATAAATCTTAGTTAATTCAAAAGAAAGGTAAGAAAGGAAAAGGTATATAGAATGGCTAAATAAATCCAAATAAATTAATAATCACAGTAATGTAAACTGATGGAATCTGTCAAATTAAAAAGTAGAAATTATCAACCCATATTAAAAAAACCAATAACATACACAAATTATATGCTTTTAAAAAAGACCTATCAAGATATAAGGACAGAGACCGAAAAAGATATGCCAGGTTTCTATTAATGACAGGCTAGTAAGCAGCAGCAAGCTTCTCATTGAAAATAACTGAAAAAGCTGGACAAAATATAAAATAGTTATATCTTCTTAAAAGTCTACTGTATAGATGTTGTTTGCCTCAGGTACTGTGTTGAGTGATGGTGTAACAGCAATGGTGGGTAAAACTGCTGGTGTCTTAGTACAAGACAGCAGTGGCAACAAAGACCAAGTCATTACATTCTTCAGCTCCATACACTCATATTAAAAAAAAAAATTCACTTAAGAATGTACTTGCTGAAGAATAAAACACATTTTTTTAAATTAATCTTTGAGCACACACTTTTTTAATTTTCAATGTGATGAAACTAGAAGCATTCATAAAACACTTCTGAAGTACAATGGTTGTCTTGAGAAAAAGCCTCTGTGCAAAGGTTTGTGTTGCAAGGCGAACTGGTCACTTCTTTCATGAGCTGCCATTTTTACTTGAAAGAACAATGGCTAGAGAAAGTATAGTTATTCAGACTTTGGTATTTGGTGGGCAGTCTTCTGAAAATGAACCAAGTGAGCCTGTCACTTCAAGGGAAACAATTAGTAGTATTTGTTGCCAAAATAACATACTGCAACAGGTTGAATGCATAAGCATCCATGAGAAACCAGCTGTCTTCTATTAAACCAGACATTATAGAGATTCCCAAAGAATGTGAAATACCACCCTCCTCACTACATTTTTAAAGTTATTTTTCATAAAATATGTTTAACTTGTGAGTTTATTATTTTTAAGTGGATTATTAGTAAATACTTTTAAATTTCTCGGTTTTAATTTCTAATATGGTAAATACAGATACAACCAACATAAATAAAAGCTTTTTTGGGTCCTCTCTAACTTTTCAATAAAGGGACCCTGAAAACAGAATGTTTGAGAACTGCTTACAGCAATAAAAGTGAGTAAACTAGGATTGGATACAACAGTGCAGATGGAACAGGCCGGCATGATGGTTGTGTCAAAGAAGCAAGAACAGAAAAACTCATTTAATATGATCCCATTCATACGAAGCACAAACACGGGTAAAACTAAACTATATTGTTGGGGCGCCTGGGTGGCTCAGTTGGTTAAGCGTCTGCCTTCGGCTCAGGTCATGATCCCGGGGTCCTGGGACGGAGCCCTGCATCGGGCTCCCTGCTCAGTGGGGAGTCTGCTTCTCCCTCTCCCTCTGCCTCTCCCCCCTGGCTTGTGCTCTCTCTCTCACTCACTCTCTCTCTCTCTCAAATAAATAAAATCTTAAAAAAAATATATTGTTGAGGATGCATTAAGTAGGTGGTAAAACCACAAAGCAAAGCAAAGAAGTGATTTACATAAACGTCATGATTGTGGCTATCTTTTGGAGGAGAGGGAGGGATTATGATTAGAAAGACCTAGGAAGGGGCATTTGGGGGTATGGCAATGTTTTATTTATTGATCTATACAAGATCTATACTTTCATTATTAATTGTATATTTACATTTTATTTGCAGTAAATTTCGAACTAAAAAGTGTATTTTAAAAATAAGGGAAAGTTTCATTACTAAAGAACAGAAAATGAAACTAAATAGAAAATAATACAAAATATTAATAAAAATAAAGTTGGTATATTTATTTTGACAACTATATTGATTTTTAGGCAAAAAACATTTCTAGAGATCTAAGGATAGTATATAAGAGAAGATTCAATTCACTAAAAAGATTTAAGAAATCTATATTCTTATAGCAGGGAATAACAATGCTTCAAAATATATAAAATTTAAAAATAACAGAATTACAAGTAGAAATTAACAAGTCTATCACTGTAAGTATAATTTAACATACTAATTAACAGATCAAGCTGACAAAAATATTGATAAAGATAGAGGTTTAAAACACATATTAACATGTTTGGTCTTATATATAATAAAACTCTGTACCCTAGTTGGAGAATACACATTCTTTTCAAACACAGACATTGTTTTAGTCCATAAAACAAGTTTCAACACATGTCAAAAACTGTATAAAAATTGGCATTTTTCTGACTACAGTGGAATTAGGGTAATTAAAATAATCTTTAAAAAACTTAAAAAAACCATATAGGACATTTCAAAGTAAAATATACTTGATTTGCACTATTTATTCTTTTGAATTTTTAATACTTGTTTTCATTCCTGTGGCAAGATAATCAAGAGTTGAATATATGAGAAATATGGAAAAAATCATGGTTATTCAGAACAGAAAAGGCTATAAGGTAACTATCTTCATGGATATGAAGGAGAATGCTCAACCTTACACTGTAGGAGGAAATAATTTGACATAATACAGGCACAATCTACTGGAAGAGTGATTAAATTTTCTAACAGGCTATTACAGAGGCCACAGAATCTCTCTATAGTCAAAGTGAGGAGGGTCCCTGCCTTTCCTGAAGGAACTTCTAAAGTTAGACTCTTAGGTTATATTCAGCTCCATGAACTGCACTCCCATTAGATACTATGGCACTCCAGTGGATCTACAATTTTGGAAACTAGCACATAACTGCCAGTTAATTCATAATATTGTACTAATATATTCGTGCAATATGTACATCATGGTATTATATAAATTTTCCGGCCAACTGAACTTTTTTCTAATTTTCAACAAATTTCTCGTTTGTTTGCATGTTTTTGAAAATGATCATTCCTTTCTGGGCAAAAATTTTTTTCTATTAGAGGAAAAAAATGTCAGTTTATATAACCAACCAAACCCTAAGGGAGTTGAAAAGTCATGCAAAATCCATTTAATAAGACTGTGGATAAAAATGACATCAAGTTACACGACTTTAAAATATGTATTTTAGGGGCGCCTGGGTGGCTCAGTTGTTAAGTGTCTGCCTTCAGCTCAGGTCATGATCCCAGGGTCCTGGGATCGAGCCCCACATTGGGCTCCCTGCTCAGCAGGAAGCCTGCTTCTCCCTCTCCCACTCCCCCTGCTTGTGTTCCCTTTCTCGCTGTGTCTCTGGTCAAATAAATAAATAAAATCTTAAAAAAAAAATGTATTTTATATTCTTAGATGGAAAAAATGTCTTCAATTAAATAACAAAAATAAAAAATACTATCACAATAAAATGTAAAATCATATATTTACTTTACTATTAAATAAGCAAGCATAATATAAGCAAAATAGGCAATTTAAATCGGCTTCTTAATATCATTCTCTTACTCTCTGAGTGACTGCAATTTCTATATGTAACTTAAACTAGAGCTATGTTAGTACCTGTTTCCTTTTAATGATAGTATTCTGGAATGTATATTTTTAAAAATCACATAATCATCTATATGAAAATTATTTGAGTTTAAAGGAAAAATGTAAAATGCCACAGTTGGAAAAATGGCTCATGCAATGACACATGAGATTAGAAGAATAAGTTAAAGTCACGAATATTATTAACATTTATTAAGTTTCAGACGGCATATGGCATTATAATCTATGAGATTTTCATTTTATACATTCTTACTAATTTTTGAAATGATTAATAGAGGAACATTAAAATTTTTAAGAAAATGGCAGACTATTTACTGGAAACAGTAGTGAATTTTGTAGTAAAAATTTAAAGTACTTGTGAGTTACCAAAACAATTAGTCATAAGGGTCCCATGGACTTGGCTTATTCTCCAGCCTGTTGTAGGTCCATTCCTTGTGACTGAAGCAAGATACCTTGGATTTATTTTATGCTGAATCATCCTCCAATGTATGTTTAAATCTAGAACAGAGTTAATTTTTATAGTATGGAATTTTGATCAACTCTCCAACACAGGAGACAGCACACCTGCTTTAGAGTTGCACACTTAGGACTGTAACAATTTCAAGCAGGATACTGAGTCAGTAAACCTGAATTCAAGGGCTCCTCTTGGGGAGTCTGTATAATTTGAAAGATCCTTCCAAGTGACTTAAGGATCCTTGGGGAAATTCAATGAACTGTGCATGTTTACATTCAAAAGGGGCCATGGCCTTTTGTCAGTTGTTTAGGAGCTGGGCTAACCAACAAGCTCTGACTTTCTAGGAGGAAGGAAAGAAGAAAAGCTTAGCATAAGAATATCTGGAAGGTATTTGCAGGAACTCTCAACTTTTTCAAGAAAAGAAGAGTCTGAAAATCATAATCCTCTTTGAGAAATAACATGATACAGTGATATAGTAAATATATCAGGTATCATACCAGGCTTTTGTATAGACCACAGGCAGTAGGCAGGCATCAAAAGTTTTAGAAAAATTTTGCAGAAATACTAATGACTAAGAAAAGTCTATCTGTTAATATTCTCTTTATTAGAGTTGAGAAAAGACTGTATCAGATGGAGAGATCTAGTTTTTAAAATACCTGTGTTCTGCAGGAGCATAGCCTGAGAATCTGCTCCATAATTTGTATTTACTCTTCAAATACTGCTGAAAAATATAAAATTTTCATTATTTTACCAGAGCTTTCGGTGGTTGTTCACTCAGCTTTTCAATCTAAGTTTAAAGATATACAATGGCTCTGTAAATTTTAGTCTTCTCATAAATCTAGGAAGGAAATAGAAAATTTTGGCTTGGCTGCACCTTATTATATTCAATAAATTCCTAAACATTCTCAATAGCAGATATAGCTGTATATAAAGAAATAACATTATCAAATATAACAGGTGAGGGCTATTTACATAAAGAACATTTAAAGTATTGTACATACACTATTAGTAGGAGAATGGTATCCATAAAGTTGAAGACGCTGACATAGAGCACAAAGGGCCAAATGAAGTGTCACATTTCAGAATGAACCCAAGTATAGCAAAAGAAAAAAAGAAAAAGACGACAAAATAATCAATTAGGAAGGGCAAATCATTATGCTACATTCTATATAGAGCACACAATACAAGTGGGATAAATGTTAAAGATGAGTAGCAAAGTTTTTCAAATCTCATATAATTAAATATTAAATGAATCTGTGCTCATTTCAACCATTTTCATTTTAACTCTCTGATCAACTACTGCTTCGAGTAAAACATTCCTCTGAAGTACACGGTTTTATTTAGACATGCTTCAGCAATTCTATATGGGTTAGGGGAAAAATCTAGATATAGCAGCATGGCAGTGGAAATGGTATGAGAGATCTGCAGTGGAATCTTGTTCTGTTCTTTTTAGTGCTGTGATCTTAGGCAAGTTAATGAACCTCTCTAAGATGGCTTTCTCATCTGTGAATGGTATGATACTTACCTGGCAGAAATGTAATGATGACTAAATGGGCGTAACATTTATAATGGATATGGCACAGAGTGTCCCAAGAAATATTATGTTCCCTTCTTTCCTTCTGAAGCATATACTATTAAGTGGCTATATGTTTTAGCTCATTTAATCTCCATAACAATCACATGTGGTCATTAGTACTATTATCCCCGTTGTACAAATGAAGAAACTGAGGCACAGGCAGGTTAAGGACCTGTTCAAGGTCACCCAGATAATAAATGACTCCTAAGCCTGTGTTATACTGTCTCCCTAATGTAATCGATATATTTTCACTACACACTAAATTTCAATGGCTTAAAAACTGAAAAATCTCATCAGTTCAGATTTGCATTATTTAACATGTGGCAACAATTAACAGTAAGTTACCACTAATCATCATTATTGTTAAACATAGTAACAAATATTTGTAGAGAGCTATACTGTCTTAGAATACTATTTATTTAGTTCAGAGGCTGTACTAAAGTTTATTTCTGAATTGTCTTAAGGAATAGTTTTGATAGCTAAATTATGTAAATAAATTTCAGGAGCACTAATTAAACTCTGTAAGATAAATACCTATGAGGTACCTGTGTAGATCAATGACTCTAGTAAGCATTTCTTTACATATAAGCAAGTTATACAGTATATTACTTAAAAATTCTTTTTATCTGTTCTTTAAAACAAGTCTCCTTCTCCATATATTTGCTAGAGAATGCTTCACTGATCTGTACGCATATAAAATTATACAATTTAGGGTATGCTGATATAATTTAAGTTTCATAATTCAGATAGACTGTCCCTAATTAATCCAAGTTAATGAGGTTTTACTATATCATTATTATGAGCTATTTGCATTAAATCAGCATTAACTTTACTTTACTTGGGTTGCAATAAAGCTCAGAGCCAAGCTTTGTGCTGACACTAACTTTTCCCATTGTGGGTTGTCTGCTATCATTTCTCCCTTTCCTCTCTCCCTTTGTTATTTGACTTACATATTTTAGTAAATGTTAATGATTAAAATAGTATGGTGTTTTTCTTGGAAGATCCACAAGTCCTTTCTGGAAGTAGTATAAACAAATAAATAGAACAGTTAAATTTCTGAAAGTAATGTAAATACCGCGTGTTTCAATTATGCTCAAATAAAAAAAACAAATTTATATCCATTGAAATATGATCTTTTCTATCACTGAGGTATCTCAAAAGGTTAATTAACATAGTTCAACCTCCTAAATGATATTTTATTAACAACTTGGCTATCCAGTTAAGTATAATCCATCAAAATTAAACAATTGCTTACTCTTTCAATATGTTATCTACAGAAAATAAAATTTATGAAGGTATTTAATTCTCTAGTGTTATTTGCTAATATTCTAAAAAATGGCATTTATGGGGCTAATTCCTATGGGATTTATAGATTATAATTTAAAAACCATGAGACCTGAATTAGAGAATTCGTAATGCCCCTTTTAATTCCTGGCTAACATTATATCAGCTCTTTGATTTTTTAAGAGTGTCTTCCATAAGCTTTGTCAATTAGAATACTGAGGGTGGTTCAACAAATATTGATAATTATAGTCAAATATACTATGAAATAATAAGTATTTCATATCCTGGTAATCTGATTTTATTAATATAAGTATAAATATACACTTAATCTATTGGGATTGAATGTGGCACCATCTGCTATAGATAATCCATGTTTTTAAAAAACATAATACATATCCTTATAATAATGAAAATCATAAAAAAAAGTTGCAACTCCCTGAGGTTAGTTATTTGAATTCCAGGTAGACCAACTAAACTACTGCACAGGGTCACTAATTTGCAAAGGAAAGAGTTATCATTTACATCTCAACAAAACTGTGTTTCTGCTAAGTACCAGATGAAAAAATATGCTATAGTGGGTAAAAGTACAGTTTGGGAGCTGCCCAGCCATGGACTCCAATCTTGGCTTTGACATAATTACAGATAATAAGAGAACTATTAGCAGATTAAATGAGAAAATGCATGCAAAGCATCTACTACAGTCCCTGATAGTAAGAACTCAGAACATGTTTGTTATTTTTATTATATGAACCTGGGATACTGTCAGACTGAAATATGTGGGATAAACAAAAAGGAAAAAGGTAGGAAAATGGAGGGAAATGTTCCTTAACTCTACCTTCAGAATAAGTTGAAAACATTAGTCATCCGAGAAGAGCCTATATTTCTAAGAATTCAAAAAAACATATTATTCCTTGTTTTTGTTTCGACATTCATATGGCTATAGTGCCACTAAATTCACTTACATGTATAATTAAATCTTTGCAATTCACCTTTAAATTTTTTCATGCATAATGATCTGTATTCATCTATTATATGATATACCCTTCAAATCTCATGGATAACAACAATATGGATGAAAATGACATAATGAATGGGATTATGGACACACATGTTTAATATCAATATTTGATATAATATTGATAGAGATGCATATAAATCTGAAGCAAATTTTCTACGTAAGAGCTTTAGAAAGTTTTCCCAAAAGGGACAGCTCCACAGTTACAGACTTTATTGTTTTTCAACATGAATAAAATAATTCTTAGCTAGAAAACCCACCTTAAACTACTATAAATTATTCTTACCAGCATTGCACGCTTTTCTTCATCTCCTTTTGTTTCTCTCTTTTCATTTTTTTTCCTGAATATCTCTTGAAGCTAAAAGAGAAAGTGATCAAGAATCAAATCTCCAGTGAGTTTCTGGGTACCTAGTTACCACTCTGTGCTAGGTATATTCTAAAAACAAAGAATTAGCTTCATCTACCAAGAACATTAAAACTACTTTAGATACATTTTCTGACACCAATTTTTTTTTCCTGAGAAAAAGAAAACACACCCTTTGCTATCGGCAGCCTGTGATTCAGTTAAATGTACAAAATTATAGCTTTACCTTATCTCTAAGACATAAAGACAGGGAGTTTGTGACACATAAATAAAAGAGATGAAGCCTACTGGGGTAGAAATAACACTGGAAAAGAATTCAGGGACTCTGGGTGTGAGCCCATCTTCTGTCACATACTAATTTTGTGATGGTGGACAGGTCACGTATCCCTCACGAGGCTCCACTTGACTCATATATGAAATGAGGACGCCCCCTTAAGTCCCTTTCAGGTATCTGTACATTGTGGGAGAAGCATGGGCTCTGTGTACAACCCCTTGGGCAAGTTACTCTAATTATTCGAGGGATTGTTTTCCATTTCCAGAACATGTAGATAATTCCTTACTTTAGAGGAATATTTTTTTTTCCTCCAGCTACACTGAGGTACAATCACCAGGTCTTGTAAGAATGCTGTGCAAAGGAAATATTACAGATAGTTACTCAGCACATTGCCTGTCACATAGTAACCTCTCAAGAGATGTCAGCTCTATTATCAATAGTATCATTACCTCTTTAAAAGCCTATTTTACAAATGGAAGCCTAGTCCTACCTCTATCACAGCTTTCTGGGGAGGTCACTGTTCGTGGCTTTGTAACTGGAACAGCTATCTTAACTCTTCATTTCATTTTGTATGGCAATAGTTGAAAGTCAAATAAAACATATCACCTCCCAAGATATGTGATAACACAAATACAGTATAGAATCTGAATGATTTTTTAACAAATACATTTATTTTCACACTTTTTCTTAGTGAAAAGAGTTTTTTTTAGCAAGGGTTATTAATAATCATTTTTTAAGTAGGCGGGAGAATCATAGGTTTTAGACCTCTACAAGGAAGTCAGCTTAATTCTACCTCCTGCTTTCAGGAATTCTTTGCTGTTTACAAATAAAAACAACAAACAGAAAACATCACTTATGAGGCAGCAGGACAGCCACTGCAAAGAGTAAACCACAGCAAAGAGTAGAGAGGGGAAACAAGTTGTACGTGAACGTTTTTACCTCCCATCCCCACCAACAGACAATATTCCAAAGGACATCTATAGAGATACCTTTCAATGCACTGAGTTCCTAAAGGTACTATTTTAGTCAATGGGGTAGAACTTGGCAGTGTTGCCACAGAAAATTTATTAAAAATTATTTAGAATACTAGGCCCATTCTGAAAGTCCTAAAATACAGTTTTATGCTATCATAACAAAACTATATTAAACTAAATCTGTTTATTTTAGGGTGTTAGGAACATGTCTATCTTTGCAGTGAAACTGAAAACTCTCACCTCCCCACCATCCTGAAAAGCACTTGAATGAGGGGTCCTTCACGGTTCCAGGTCCCAATGGTGTGGCTTAGGGACTGTCCCCAGGCAAGGGCTACATGGGTGTTAGAGTAAGTCATCTGATAGATCCCAGTAATTAGTCTGCTTGCTTCCTTTTGAATGGCTACTGATTATGACAAGGATTTTTATCTCTTCCTTTTTCTACCACAGAAAAGAATGATTTCATAGTTTCTCTTCCATGTTCCAGCCTCTGAGGAAAATATTAAGCTGTTTAAGAGGTTTTTTGAGGGATTTTTAATGGCTTGTTACAAAAGAAAATAGAAAATAAAATGGCTATTTATATGCCATCTCTTCCTTTTCTTTTAGCTAGGAAATATAGGTAAATACAGAATTGAACATAAATGTTAAGGGTAGAACTTGTTACTGTAAGCATCTCTACTTTGGAGAAAAAAAATAGAATAGGCATTTTGCCACCGAAGCAGATGCAGGATCCATGGGTAAAAAGAAATAGGAAAATTCTGGAAGGGGAAGTGGCAAGATGAGTGAGCAGCTGATGATGTTGCCAAACCAGCACCAAGCTGCATCAGTCAGGTGAGAAAGACTGACGGCAGATACCTAAGAACAATCTTATTCTCCCCATTTTAGATCAGCCCTTGTTCAAAGACAAGAAAAAGGAATAGCAAAATGGGAACAAGACTGGAATATAAGGCAGTCATGAGTGGAAGAGAAAAGCAGAAAGAAAAATCACAGGTCCTATCATGAGAAGGAAGGGAAGTTCCGGTGGCAAAGAGCTGTGGGTGGGGGGCTGATACGATGGGGTCTGAGCATAACTGAGCATATACCACACCTCTGAACTGCCTGTCATCCACCCCGTGGAAAATATCTGACTCATTTCAAATGTTCAGAAAACATGTAAACAACTATAATCATCTTCATATAATGAATACAATTTATATATATATATATATTTTTTAAAGATTTTATTTATTTATTTGACAGAGAAAGATACAGCGAGAGAGGGAACACAAGCAGGGGGAGTGGGAGAGGGAGAAGCAGGCTCCCCGCTGAGCAGGGAGCCCGATGCGGGGATCGATCCCAGGACCCTGGGATCATGACCTGAGCCGAAGGCAGACGCTTAACGACTGAGCCACCCAGGCGCCCCTACAATTTATATTTTTATAATATAAAAATTATTTAAAGTACACGATGCTATACTTCTTTATTAAATTAAGGTGAAAGCATAAATTTTTCACTCTTCCTTCTACGTTATTCCAAATAATGCAAAAACATAAGGATGTAAGTAAGCAATATTTATTAATAAAATGCAGCATATAATATACATACCACCAAAAACTCCTTTTTATCCACCATCTCATTGCCATCAGTGTCAAACATGTTGAAAGCTATTCTAAAACCTGCATGTGGCTCTGCCAGAAAGAACAGAAAAGTACTTGTGAAATGGAAAAATGTTTTTAAAGTGCAGTTGTAAATAGTTAAGTATACTCTGTACAAAAATACTTTCTTTCACCAAGAAATTAAAAGCAGCAGTTTACTATTAATGAAATATAATAAAAGCTATATATGTATACATCTTTCTATTTCATGTGTTAGCACTCTTAGCAACAAAACTGGTAATACACTTTAAAAGTATTTGTCTGATACCTGCTGTGCAGCACAGGCAGTATAATTTAACTACCTTAACTTCCAAAAATAAATACTTCTTTTTGTTATCCCAAGTTTGTCAGTTTAAAAGGGAAATAGCAAATCATCACATATGTTCAATATTTAGAACAAAAGAAAAAAATATGACACAATGGACCAATCCTGATTCTTAGGAAAATCAGAATGGAAATGACCTATAAAAATAAATGTCAAGCACAAGAGATTACATATTGGGTTTAAACTTTCAGAAGCTTCAAAAGCAGAAATATAAAATAAAAGAGGCTTGAATAATTCTCAATTCCCCAAAATACAAGGAACAATTATTTTTCAGAGAAAGACACACTTTTAAACACTAAGAACTATTTAATTTTATGAACCTTATAATGAGGTTCAATCCCTTTATCCCTTCTAAGGCATAAAGAAAACCTCAACAGAAGAAAACTTACATATCCTTCAAAGAGAAGCTCAGTGCACATGCCTTTGTGAAACATCTGACCCTTTCTTTTTTTAAGATTTCATCCATTCATTTATTTTAGAGAGAGAGAGAGCGCACATGCGCACACACACACACACACACATACAGGCGCACGCAGTCGCGTGAGGGGTGGAGTGGTAGAGGGGGAGCGAGAGGGAGAATCTCAAGCAGACTCCATACTGAACACAGAGCCTGATGTGGGGCTGGATCTCAAGACCCTGAGATCATGACCTGAGCCAAAACCAAGGGTCAGTAGCTTAACGGACTGATCCACCTAGGCGTCCCTCTGACTCTTTCTTTTGAGATGACTGGCAAAAAGTTTTTAAAAGGGGCCTTCCACAGATATATTTGGCATTACCTGTTGTAAAATCTTGAAACTAGCAAAAGAGAAGCATGTAACCTTACTTTCTTAACTGGTAATAACTGTCTCTGAAAATGGAAACAGAAGCCAGTCTTATATGCAAGCTCATTTCTGGCATATAGTTTAGGAATTGAAACTTACTTTCATCAGCATTCAGTTGAGAAAGAAATAAAAAATTTCATTATCTCTAATAACCAAGTTTTAAGCTTTAAAATGATCTTGAAAATACATAATGAAAAGAAGTCTTCACTGTTTGGAAGGGAAAATGAAGTTAAAATAATAAATAGCAAAGAGGAAAGAATCATAGACAGGTAAGGTGAATTCTCTAGCCCACTTTCTGCCAGTTCTCACAGTTTTCTGCCAGTTTTCACATTTCTCTTGGTTCTAATCTAAAAAACAACCAAAAGTTTTCAATTCAAATTCCCAGAAGTTTCTAAAATAGGTTCTGAACTCCAAAGGAAGATTCACTGCATCCAAAGATCCTAACCTTTCCATGTAAGCAAAACCACCATATGTTTTTTCCCGACACTCTTATCCATACCCTGTCCCATCTCAAAAAGTGGCTTTCCTAACCAGTTCTATTATATTCTTGCCTGTCACTCGCTGGTTTAGGTATTTCAGACTTAACAGTTTTGCAACCAAAGTTGTTCTATAGCTAACAATGTAACTTTTTCACAAGTCTCTGAGAACTCCTTGGTACTCCTCTAATTTTCATGGAGTATTCATCATTGACTAGACTTGAATCATAATGGCTTCCAGCGTGGAACAACCTCAGATAGTTGTATTACTAACTGCACAACATTTCTTGTTCTTCAGCACCAACATTTTAATTTCATTTTGAGTCCAGGAGGAAAAAAAATACAAGAAAAAATAAAGGATAATTTTCGAAATTCACATGCACACATGTACATCCCCCAAACTTCCTGCAACAGAACTCCAACATAACATCATTCATTACTAAATTCAGAATAACATAATGGCTCTGATTTTTCTAATCATAGAAGTACAAGGAATTTTTCATTTGTTTCTAATGGCAGAGTTTCACGGATAATTCGTATTTCCAGACATCTCCACAAATCCCCACAAACAGAAATCCCTCTAGCAATATTCTTTCATTTATTCTTTTTTTTCACTCATTCACCAACTAGTTTTTGAGAGGCTACCATGTGCTAGACATTGTCCAGAAATGGACAAAAAAAGAGAAAATCTTTGCCATCATGGACTGTGCATTCAAGTATGGGGAGACAGACAAAAACATATAAACCAATAAATACTTTCAAGTAGTTTTAAGTGCTATGAAGAAAATAAAACATGGTAAAGGGATAAAAAGGGAGAGGTAAGAGAGGGAGCTATTTTAGGGAGGATAGTCAAGAAGGGTTCACATTTCACATTCAAACGAAACCTGAATAATGTTTATTATCATGAGGATCTTGAGGAAAAAGCACTGATGGCAGAGGGAGCAGAAAGTACAAATTCCTGAGGTGAGAATTCAAGGAACAGAAAAGCCAGGTGGCTGGAGCACAGTGAACAATAGCAGGTAAGTTCCTGCATTAAATACAATGAAATTTAACTGAAATCATTAGTAAGCCCTTCTTATATTTCATAAAAATTGCTGCATATGAGAGGCAGAGAATAACAAAGCTGTTTTAGTATGTATAATGGGTATTCTGATACACTCACAGTTAGAAGACTCATTCTTTCACACTAGTCTTAAGAAACTTAATATTTCAATGAGTGTAGCAGGAAATTTACAAATCCCTACATGACCTGACTTTTAGGCTTTCATGTAAACCCAAAGGAATGATATATGATATAAAATTTATAATTTATGAGCATTTTATTCCTATACCATATGCCATAAAAATATTTATGTCTGACTCTTGATAGTGCTATTTGCTGATAACATTTAGACATGAATTTTGCAAAATAACCACAGATAAACCTAAAGTGATTTTCAATAGTAAGAGAATCTAAGATTTGTTTTCCAAGATTCTTATTTAAAAACAAAACTGTATCCAAAAGTAGACTCAATGAGTACACTTACTTGTTAAAATACATAAAAGAAAAAGATATTCTGTGTAAGAAATCACACCTAGAAGAAAAATAGTATTAGTCATGTTATATATAAAATATTACTTTATCAAGCAAAATATTATTCTTACAGTAATAAGTTATATTAATAAGGAACTTACTGTTTTAAAGAAAATGCTAAGTATTGTTTTAAATAAGACTAAACTATTAAAAATCATGGCAAAAGAAGCAACAACATTAATTTTAATTTGTTTCACAATGCTTCCGCAGAAACTCATGCAAAATTCCCATTAATACCCCTAGACAGATTGGCCAAGAAAGCAAAATTATATTGTTTATTTATAACTGTAACTTTAAACTTGTTGCTAGTTTTCAATGGATGAACTAACATAAAATAAAAAGGCTGGAAATGGTTAAACTGTAAAGTGCTTAATTACTTCTTAATAACTCTTGAAAAAAATAATAACTCTTGAAAAAAACATTTAGATATTCCTGCTTAAAATATGATTTCTGTAATCGCATTAAAAAACAAAACTCTGTATCACTTTTCTGCTTTCAAGTTATCATTATTATTTTTGACAAAGTTAATGGTTCTATTAAATGTACTCTAAGAAGTTTTTGTCTTAATTACATGGCTTACACTTTCTGAATATTGCATCCCGAGTTCTCTGTAATCCTAGTACTACAAAGTTTAAAAGGCAAATACAAATATATATTCTGTTACTCAAATTCTTGCTTTTGGACATAACACCCCAAACTAGAACTAATGCTTAATTGAGCTTCTAGGTGGATCCTGAGAAAATTAAAATCAGGAATAAGTCAGTAACACTTCTCCAGATATCAGATAGTCCTAACGTTTAGTAAAAGCGTATACAAAAATCCTTAAATAATCAGATTGTGAACCTTGAAAGTCCATTTTACCTGATGTTCTTTGAGGCTCCGCTCTTTGTTACAGAACAAAGAGAAGAGAAGTCACTGTCAGGCAGTTTGTCAGAAAACTTGAAGGGAACTAGCTGGAGGCCCTGAAAGCATTCCCTTCTTTTGTTTATACTACAATATTGTGACCTATAGACAGATAGTTCTGGTTGACTGCCATGAATGTTATGGGAGAAAGATTCTGGAATGGTCAATGTATATAAAAGATACAATACCTAGATTCCATAGGGATCCCTCATAGAAAGAAAGAGAGAGAAAGAAAGAAAGAAAGAAAGAAAGAAGAAAGAAAGAAAGAAAGAAAGAAAAAGGGAGAAAGAAAGAAAGAAAGAAAGAAAGAAAGAAAGAAAGAAAGAAAGAAAGAAAGAAAGAAAGAAAGAAAAAGAAAAAGAAAAAGAAAGAAAGAAAAGGAGAAAGGAAAGAAAGAAAGAGAAAGAAAGAAAGAGAAAGAAAAAGAAAAAAAGAAAGAAAAAAGGGGAATGGGATTGGGAAATGGATTCTCTGTCTCTACAATCCCATCATCACTGACTGTTGTTCTAATTGACCTGGTGGAACACACAAGAGATGTCGGTTGATATAAAGAAGTTTAATAACTGTATCTTTTATTTGATAATTAACTCAAGATTTCCCTCAGTGAACAATTAGCAGTGAGAGTACTAATCATAATTATCATGGTAGGTACTTGTTTGTAGGACCAAATGGTTTTTGAGGTGGTGTAATCCACACACAAGAACAAAGTGAAATTTATGATGTAATTTAATAAAAATGATCAAGGAAAAGAGAAAATACTACTCAACATGAACTGTAGATTCTTAATGCTTTCCAATTACAAAAATGGAAAACTATTAGACTCACCTTTTAATTTATTTTAAGGCCACCCAAGATCAAAAAAATAAAATAAAAATACATATGCTAAGCATATAAAAAAAAGGGTAAGAAAGATGTCAACTACGTTTCTTTTGAAAATTCAATAAAAGAGTTCTAAGGGAAGTTCCTTAAAAACATTATACTGTTTAGTTCCTATATCATGATACATTACACAGTTGGCTGTTATAACTAAGTCTGAAGTACATGTTTTCATAAATGTTGCATATCAATTAATTTTTTGTAAAACTGCATAACATTTTCTTGCGGGGGTAATACTTTAAGCAGATAAAATGCAATTGTAAATTAATCTCCAATAGCTCTCAAGATTTAGCCTTAAAATTCCTTTGCCACTTAAACCTATTTATAAAAAAGCAAGGCTCTCTGTGACATTCTACTTCGCCTAACCTAATGGTTCTAAAACTTTTTGTGTACATGGATTCCTTTGATAATCCAATCACGATGACACAGCTCTGCACTATCCTACAGGGTAGCCATTGGTCACATGTGGCAACTTAAATTTAAAATAAATAAAATTAAATACAATAAAGAATTCAGTTCCTCTATTACAGTAGCCACATTTCAGGTGCTTTTTAAAAGCCCACCTCTGGCTAGTAGCTACTATGGGAGACAACAGAAATAGAACATTTCCATCACTACAGATAATTCTCTGGGATAGCACTGAATAGATCATTTCCCCCCAAAAACATGCAAATATTCATGTAACATAAAGATTAGGACAAGCTTAAACCCAGGGCTTCCAGATTCAACCCCTTCTATGACTACAAAGAATTTCCTTTTTCCATGCATTTGGTTTTCTCAGATTATACTCGATCCAATTTGTATTTTCCCATGAGAGGTATTAAAAGTAAGTATTTTTATATTTGCTAACTTATCTCTTTGAGCTTTGATTTTTCCTGATCCTATCATCCCACCCTAAGATTTGAATGACAATCTTTAAGACAATTTCCAAGAAAAAATTTCTAAGAGCTTTAAATATACCATGGCCCCGATTTCGCAAAGATTTTAAAACCCTAATTATGAAAAGACTACGATGAAAGGTAAGGTGTCTACCCCTTTCAGATTCCATGTGAACCAGGTGGAAGCAATTTGAATTTCTAATTCCACTCAGATAAAATACATGGATTACAATTATCCTTTAAGATATTTGTCTTCATGCTAGAGTATAATTATTTTCAAATCAGTATCTGTTAAAATTGATGAAAATGAAAAAGGTAACTGTTTATATAATTTCTTTAATATTTTTATTTCGTATAGTCTTATATTTGAAAAAATAAAAAAGTATATTTACAAGAAAAATTCCTTTTTAAGATTAAAGAGATTTTATTAATTAGTCTTTTCTATAAATATGTACAAAAAGTAAAGTGTAAAAGAAAACGGCAATAAAAGCTATATAATTTGATTGTGAGGAAATGTATGAATTAACAACTTAGCTTAGATACATAGATATAGATCATATAGTAGGTTGAAAGGTGGCTTTTGCAATGAGTGTTGTTTTTAAAAGAAACATGTTCAAATTGGGTGACCAAAAGACATATCCAATAAGTTCTTCACGGTGAATATTAAATTTTTAAAAATCTGTAATCTCCTGGAAGTAAAATGGAAGGAAGAAAAACAGTTGGAGATCAGTATTTTTGAAAAATGCTTTCTATAATTAAATATAACCCTCACTACTCAATATGGTTGGAAAATAATTTTTTATAGCCATAAAAGTTCACTTTCTTCTAAAAAATTTGAAAGACATGAATAATATATTTAAAAACATAAAAACTAATGATGTAATATATGGTGATTAATATAACAATAAAAAATATATTTAAAAATAAGAAACACCTTTAATCCCGCTACCCAGAAACAATCATTAATATTTTGGTGTTTTTCTTCTCAGTTTTTTCTCTATGCACACACACATCTGCACATATAATTAACTTGTTATATTATTTTAAGTATAAGGAAAAATATATATAAAGAGTATGAATAATATAGCGTCCATTTTAAAATGCATAAGTACTAAAGTTAACTTACCTCTTTCTTTAAGATTACGAAAAAGCTTTGATGATCCTTTCCAAACTGGTGGTGTTTCGGAGAGCATTTGATTTAATTCCTATAACATAAGGTATCATAACATTGCTTAATAGGTAAACCACTTACTTATAAAATAGATATAAAATATTTAAATGCCTTATACAAAAAAATTCTCCACTTAAAAGACTTGAGACATGGCTGTATTTATTCTATTCTATACCTGTGGTTCGTTCAACCACAAAACCCAATATTTGCCCACAGTCTAAATATAAAATAAATCATAAAGAAGCTATGTTGAATTCAATTAGAGCTACCAAAAATTTCAGATAAATTTAGCAAGTGGAGGAATATATATAAAATAATCAGATTAAGATAAGACAGTGAGTTTAAGTTCAGGAACCAGTTAGAAAAGGATAGTTTCATGAAAGTGGTAAGTAAAGGTGGATTTCCTAATCAAGGTCAGAGATGATGGCCTGGCTTCACATACTGTCTCTTTTCTGTAGCCCTCTTGGATTTAGGGAGCTTTGTGGAGGAAGTAAATGGACAGAGGATCAAAATGGGAAAGAATGAAGAATATTTTAGTAGTGACTCAAAGAGTGCTGATGTCAGATGGAGTTCAGGGGTACTGAGTGATTATGACCACTGTTTCCTTTTTTTTTCTTTCTAATTTTAACTTACATATTCAGTAAAGAACACAGACTTCAATTGCTTAGTCAGCCTTTTTTGTTTGTTTCTAAATCAAACTACCACAGCAGGTTGGGGAGCTATTTTGGAAAATTTAAACATTTGAATCATTGTTCAGATACTAAAGGAATTTTGAATTTATTATGCATACTGAGTTCAAAATAATTAAATGAAAATTATATTTTGGTTAATTGTAAAGAAAAAATATTAAAGGATTTGATGAGATAAACTGAAATAATTTGAAATAAAAAAGGTGGTTTGCTAAGTAACACACTGAAAAACACTAGAAACCACTTCTATTTCCAGACCTGATTCTTCTACTCAACATGTGGTTCCCCAATAGCCTAGGCATAACCTGTGAGCTTGTTCAAAAAGCAAAATTTCAGTTCCCAAGCCAGATCTACTGAACCAGAATGTGTATTTTTAACAAGAACTCCTGGCGATTTTGTTTCCCCATGTTCCAGTTTGAGAAGCACTTTTAGACAAACCCTTCCTGATGTGGTTGTACCTAAAAATGTTCTGTAACACTATAAACTGCTTTTTCTTTTTTCATTACAAAGCTGAGCTGACAGGCAAATAAAGAAACCCTGGGATGCCAAAGGCAGCAGAGGTATTTTTAGGGGATTTATGGATTCCCTGCAGCCCACTGTGAATCCCGCTTTCATCCCCTTCATAGTGCTATCTATCTCTGCACTGCAAGTAACAGATGCCACCAGACGGCCAACAGTGTCTGATTAGAGTAGCAACGGCACAGGGTAAGAATTCGGGCTTGAATAACGATGAGAAGCTGGAATATTTACTGCTTAAACAACAATAAACTCATAAATATTTTTGTTAGAGCAAGAGATTAAAAAGAACATTTTGCATATATTTGATATACCTTAATGTATACCATATCTGTCATATAAGTATCAACTTCTCTTTCTCCATTTTAACTATTTCATGTATTCAATTTCATCTCTTCTAGCTTGAACTCAGCTAGAGTTTACAACCAAAAAAAAAAAAATCATAGCTACCTTTTATTGAGTGCCCTCTATGTGCCTGACAATATATAATCTCTCATTTAATTTTAATTAACAATCCTCATTGTGCATATTTTACTGAGACTTAAAGAGGATAAGAACTTACCCAAGGTCACACAACTACTAAATGACTGACCAGATCCTTACTGACTAAGCAGTTTATTTTAGTAATAATTCAGCTTCTTCTGGTCTGGATTATCTAATTAACACACTGATTTTTGTCTTCGGTTCACTTTAAGAAGTTTTAAAACGCATTAAAATCTGTATTTCCGTTCAGACTGGGAATCTCTCTCCCCATTCCCAGTGCCTAGATCTTGGTCTCTTACATGTAGTAGTGTTATAATAATAAATAATTTGGGGCGCCTGGGTGGCTCAGTCGATTAAGTGTCTGCCTTTGGCTCAGGTCATGATCCCAGGGTCCTGGGATTGAGCCCCACATTGGACTCCCTGCTAGCAGGGAACCTGCTTCTCCTTCTCCTCCCTGCTTGTGTTCTCTCTCGCTCTCTCTTTCTCTCTCAAATAAATAAAAAATCTTTAAAAAAATAATAAATACTTTGGTTGGCCTTTGCCCCTGGTTCCTGGAAGATGCTATATCCTTGAATCACACTTGGTTATAGGATGACCCTGGATGGGTTACTGATAGCCAGAAAGAACCACCATGGGATTAGAAGGTTGGGGCTCTGAGCTCTCCCTACCTCTGGGGAGGGGTAGGGAAAGGGACTGGAGACTGAGTTCAATCACTGGGCCAATGAATACATAATGAAACCCTTAATAACTCAACACCCAAGCTCAGTGGACATTGCCACTGGTAAATATATTGGTGTGCCAGGAGGGGTGACACACCTCTCCATGGGAAGAAGGCATGGAAGGTCTGTGTTTGGGATCTTCCTATACCTTTCCTTGGAGTCTCTTCATATGGCTAGTCCTGATTTGTGTCTCTTAAAATAATTATAAACTGTTACTTATAAATATAGAATGTGTCTGAGTTCTGAATCAGTCTAGCAAATTATTGAACCTCAAGGGGAATTATGGGAGCCTCTTGGATTTGTAGCCAGTTGGTCAGAGGTGTGGGGGGCCTGGGGACACTTGATCTTGCAGCTGGTATCTGAAATAAGGGCAGTCCGTTGGGGACTGTGCCCTTAAATCAGTGGAGTCTGACACTAAATCTGGTTTTATCGCTTATTGCAAGTTGGTATTAAATAGATATTTGCTGTATCAAATTCATTTTCCTAGAATTATAGTGCCTTGTAAAAGATTTATATAATTTTCTTAAATAAGTACAATTTTGTCTTATTATATAGTTAATTTATATGCATTATAGAAAAATTAGCAAATATAGAAAATAAAAACTAATTTCAATCCAGGAATGAACCATAATTGAAAGTTTTATTTAAATCCTTTTAGTCTAATTCTCTCTAGGCATAATTATATAGCTTTTTTGTCATTGCAGCAAATATTAAATTATTTTCTACATATTGATTTGTAACTTACTCTTTGCACTTAATACTTCATGGGCATATTTTCCTGCCAGATAGTCTTCATTGCATTTTAATGGCTACACAGCAGTTCTATATCAGCAGTTCTGAAATGTAATTCTTTATACTCTTAAAAATTATTATGGACCCCAAGGAGATCTTGTTTATGTGGATATCTATCAATATTTAATGCATGTGGAAGTAGAAATGATAAATTTTTAAACACAAAAAAACACAAGCACATACTCTATTAGATGTCAGATTGATGGCATCATCAATCATCCTGTAGCCTCTAGAAAACCCTACTGTACACTTGTGAGAGAATGCAAGTAATAAAACAAATTATCTTTTCGGTGTTATTATAAAAATAGTTTTGACTTCATGGACCCCTGAAAAGGTGTTTGCACTTTAAGAACAGCCAGTCTATATTATTCTGCAACTTGCTGTTACTCAATTTTCAGTCTTCTAGATCCATTCATAACTTGGATGTATTTTTTCACTGTGGCTCTGTATTATTGTATTTGTCTTTGAATGCCTATTTCACAATTTTTTTATTCATTTCTCAACTGACTGACATTTATATTGTTTCTTTTTTTTAATTTTGGCTATTACAATCGATGCTGCAGAAAACGCACACAGGACTGCTGGTGTAATATTTCTCTAGTATACTTCTCTAAAAGTAGAGTTTTTGATATGTACTTTCAACTTTATTACATTTGCCAAATTTCTCTCAAAAGTAAATATACAAATTTACACCCTCACCTGATTCTTTCTTCTTCGTTGCTAATTATTGGTACTGCTAGATTTCCAGAAGCTGATAATCTGATGGGTGTGAAATAGTATCATATTATTGGTTTAATTTGCATATCCCTAATCACTAGTGAGGTTGAGGTCCTTTAAATATGTTTATCAGCCATTCTATGTTTACCCTCTTTTTTTCTTACTGAGCTGATTATCTTTTTTATATTGACTTACAGGAGTTCTATATGAGTACAGTACACTTAATGTTTTGTTAATATATTGAAGCATAATTTTCCCATCTGTCATACTTCTTTTAACATTGTTGGCACTCTTTTGGTATGCCAAAGTTTCTGATATTTAATTTAGTCAAATTTTCCAAAATTTCCTTTGAGCTTTGTTTTATATGTCTCATCTAATGAAACCTCTTGTGTCCTTTATTTTACTTCTAATATTTCACAATTTTTTGTTTGTCAAAGTAAGAACTTAATCCATCTGAAATTTGCTTTTGTATATGGTGGTCAGTTTGATATTTAATTGTATTTAGCCCCATTCTGGAAAGACTATTGTTCCAATACCTAAAGGTCAATCCTTCCTCCAGGGATTTACAGATCTTCCTATACATGCCTTGGTCTGTTTCTAGACTCTATATTCTATTATTTTCATCTAATTAAAAAATTCTTGCAATAATATAATACTATTTTAATTATAGCTCTATTATTAATCTTAATATGAGACAGGCCCAATTGTTCTCATCCTATTGTTTGTCTGTTTGCTTCCCTTCCTTCCTTCTCAGAATTGTTTGGAAAATTCTGGGCCCTTACTCTTCTAAACGAATCATCTGTGAACATGATATATTTCTCTGCTTACTCATATCTCTTAAAAATAGAATAATATCTTGCACATCTTCTGTTAAGTACACTAAGAATCTAATAGTTTTTGTTGCTATTGTGAAAAGTATCTTATTTGATAGTGCAGTTTCTAATTGCTATTGCTGGTGCAGAAACACTAGCAGCAACCTTGCTAAACTTTTACTAAATCTGAATTTGAAATCTATGCATTTTTATATTTTTCTCTCAATCATATTGTTTGTTACTGTCCTGCTCCTTAGAACCTATTTTTTCTTGTCATACTACATGTTATAGCCTGAGTTATGTCTACCTCAAATTTGAAATCATAATTCTCAGTATCCAGAATGTGACTATTTAGAGACAGCCTTTACAAAGGTAATTAAGATTATTAAACGAGGTCATTATAGTTGGTCCTAATCCAATATGACTGGTGTCCTTATAAGAAGACATCAGGATACAGACATGCACAGAACAATGATGGGGAGATGACAGAGGGAGAAGACAGACATCTACAAGCCAAGGAGGGAGGCCTCAGAAGAAACCCACCCTGCCAACACCTTGATCTTGAACTTCCAGCCTCCAGAACTGTGAGAAAATAAATTTCTGTTGCTTAAGCCACCCAACTTTGGTATTTGTTACAGCAGTCCTAGCAAATTAATATACTACCTTAGCTTAGACCTGTAATAAAACAGTGAGTAGTGGTTGTGATAGCAGACATATTTGTATTCTATCTAATTTGAAAGAGAATGTCTAAAGGTTTATATGTAAACATCATGATTGCTACAGGCTTTAGAAGATTCGCTATAACTGGTTAAGGAAGTTCCCTAGAAAGCTATACTAATATGGTTTTTTTTAATTGAAGTTTATCATACATTTAAAAGTGCAAAAGGAATATATGTAAAATTTAAAGTTAGAAATTGTTAAGAAACAGAAAATTACCAGTACTTTAGAAGCCTCTTTGCACTTCTCACTGATGATATTTCCTTCCATCTCCCCCAGAGGTAAATATTGTCTTGAATTTAATATTTATCGTTCCTTAGTTTTCCCACCTATGAATGCATCTTTTAGTGGTTTCTTTTTAGACTTTATGTAAATGGAACTGTAATTTATATTTTTGTGAACTGCTTGTCATTATGTTTCCCAGATTCATCTAGTTTAAGCACCAGTATAATTCATTTGTTTTCACTTGCTATACTATTCACTGTATGAATATATAAAAGCTTATTTATCTTATTGACATTGTATTGTAGTCTTTCTGGCCAACCATGAATAATCTAATAACATTCCTGTGACCCTCTCATGCATGTACGAGTTTCTCTAGGTATAGAGACTAGTGTAAAATTATTGGATCATAGGGCATATTCAAGTTTAACTTTACTAGGTATATGTATATGCACTGTGGCAGAATTGAGATCCAAGAGAACTGGTAGGTACAGGGTATGTGTATCTTTAAATTTTATAGACAATGCCAAACTATTTTCCCAAGTGGGTATGCATATATATATATATACACATAGTGTGCATGCATATGTACACCAAGAGCTTCAACCTACCTGTTTGGTAAGTGACTTCCACGTTTTAACAACTGTAATAAACAAATATAAAAGAATTAGATAATAAATACTTCATGTAATGTACATCTGAATTCAGTAACCATCTATAACCCTAACTCATAACACCAAGCTTCTATATCTAAAAGACAAAGTATTTTTTAGCTTTGAGATGTGGATCTAAGGTATAGGTTTTATTTATGTTATGTATTTGTTTCATGTACTATACACTAGTTATAATAAGTGATAGCAGAATAGGAAACATATTTTCCATAATCATCTTACTTTGGAGATTTCTGGATTTATAAAGTTAACTTACTCCATGTTAAACATCCTATGGGCTTAAAAACACAAATACTGATATTTATTAAATATTCATACTAGAACATAAAATATGAACATAGAGAAATTATAATTTTAAGGTGCTGCCTATGATCTCTGCTTTATCTCTAGTTATAATTCAAATGCCAGGTCTTTCTAGGGTGAAGGGGAAGGATGGGGGCAATGAGAAAAGGAGATGAAGATGAAAGCAGGTAACACGATAGGGAGACCCTCATCCTGTTCTCCATTCTTGCCCTGTATTTAAGAATCATTTCTAGAACAAGAGTATTATAGTTGAATAAATTACCTGAGATCACTTTCTTTTTCTGATTCCTCCTCATACCCTTGAAGATCTCAAACACTATAAATCTTATAATATTGGAATAAATGCTCAGTCACCACTGCTGTTTCCTTTGCTCAGATTTGAAAACTCTGAATATCCAATGTCTGCCCAAGAATTATCTCCAGGTTTATATGTCATTAAGTCTTATAACACAGCTGCATTAGGAGCTAGTAAATATTAATTATTTCAGCTACATTACAATAATGACAACCAATAATTTTTTACATGGTAATGTGGCTATTTCTTTATAATTAACCATAGTTACTGTAAACAGTATATCGAAGTCAGGACTATAAGATAGGCAGTTTTTGCCATGTAACTTTCTTTTTTGTAAGCAATATAAGTCACTTTAAGATCGAAAGCATAGAAGTATGTTCTAAAATTCAGCAAAGTGATTTTTATGGAGATTGACTTCTTCTCTATATAGCAACAATATCCTTTTTTTACCCAAGATAATTTATACAAACATGTAATCAAGTGATTAAAATCACAGGTTTATAAAGAAGTCAGCATTTAGCCTTAATTCTAATACATTTATTTCATCCACCTTTTCATAATGAACAGAACATTGTAAATAGTATTTATTACTCTGTTGCTTTTGAAATATAGCAGTATGAACAGAAGAAAAACAAATGGCACAAAAGTACATGCACATGCTCTTATGCAATGTTCAGAAGCTATTTATCAGAAGAGGAAGTTAGACACACTCTTGAGTTTTGTAGGGTTTATGAGATTTCCAGGGTAAATTATTCACAAAAGACATATTCATTCTGCCGGATATGTCACCATGTTCAGTATTATTAGCTTTTTTTATAAAGACTAAAGAGCCATTAAGATTATTCTTCAAAGGATTTTCTGATTTTCTAAATTCCTTATTTCATATGAAGTTACTACATATATAAATATAACTTGGGTGAAGAGGGACTTCAATTCTATTGGATGTATTTTATTTCTTCAGCTATAGCTTGATGTTCATATTTTAATACTTTTATGTATGTTTGAAATTTTTAACAATATATTTTTTAAAACTAAAATTAAAATAATACTTGGAGCTACATGAAGGTAATCAATTATTTTAGTTCTAGAAAGGAAACTTACCTTTTAGGTTCTATTTAGGTAGGTAAAATAAGAATTTTTCTAGATTTCAAACACAAAGCTATAATCAACAAATATATCTCGATTAACATTTATTTGAACTATATTAAGCAAATGTTTACACAGCATACCAATTTTTTCCTGCTGATGTCACCATAAAATTATATCAAAGATTTTTTTAAAAAATTATGATTATGAATTCAAACGATGATGAAGATGGTTGACAATGACAGCTACCAACATGTATTAAGTGCTTACCATGTATCTGATATTTTACTAAACACAACCAATATTACTCAATCTTCAAAAACCTCATGAGGTTGCTATTATTTTTATTTTTATAAATGAGGAGACAAAAAAATAAAAAATTTAACAAAGTTCTCAAAGCTAGTAAATGAATACTCAGGTTTAAATACAAGTCTGTCTAATTTCAATATGCCACATTGATACACATATGACTTAATATTCAGTCTATGAAACATTTTCTCTTCTGAGGCAAATACTTCTTTTTGTAACCCCACACTTGAAAAAAAGTTTTTACACATATCTTGATCTTTAGTGATCATTCTTAACTATGTTTTAAAAGTTCCAGTTTGAAATTAACTGATCAGTTAATTTCTGGTTGTTAAATGTCCTGTGCAAGTTTTTTATAATGGAATGTTTTTTCCTGCAAGTGGTAGTTTTGTAATACCTTGAAAAGAATCAAATTTGAAATTTATTTCCAAAAAGTAAAAAGCCACCAGCAGGCTTACACTTGGTATATTATGAAGAAAAAATTCAAGAAAATAATGAATTAAAAATTTTCAAACTATGAAATTCTAAATTAAGCATTATTTATTGAATTTCTCAAATATAAATTTGACAAAAATTATAGGATTTGATGCAAAAATACCATTTGATATTCTAAAAAATACATCAACAGTTTTATCAAATCTGTGCTAACTTAATAATAAATATAAAAAGTCCACATTGTATGAAGTCAATTAAACAAATGTATGGAACACATACATATCTATTTTTGTATAAGGGCCTTTTCTACGTACAGTCTCTACACTTACGAAACTTAAAATATTTTAAGAGGACAAAAAGTATCAAACAACAAATTCCAAGGCGAAATATGGTTATCTGGTACATGGTAAGTACTCAATAAATATTTCTAGAAGGGAGGGAGGAAAGGGAGGTTAAAGGAGCACAGAGAACTATAATCCTTACCATAGCCCTCAAATTCCTCCAAAAAAGAGCCCTACTCAATTTATAGCCTTTTCTATCACTACTACCTTACATACTCCCAAAGTGGACTATTCTGAATACACCATTTACTCTCTTGATCCCATGTGTTTGTTCATACAGTTCCCTCTCCTTCAGCTGATAACCTCAGAGTCTCCTGACAAAATATTGTATGATAAAGTCTCTCCTTCAACTACTATCTTTCATTTCCTCTACTTCACAGCCGAACATTTTGAGAGGGTCCTTTATACTCACTGTCTTCATTTCTTCATCTGCTCTTGCAATCTGGTGTTTGCTCTAATCACTACACTGAAACATCATTTTAAAAATCATCAATAACCTTCAAATTACCAAATCTAGTAGACATTTTTCTGTCCTCATCTAACTTGACATCTCATTTGACCATTCTGTTCATTTTCCTTGGCTTCTATGACTCCATACTCTTGATCTTGTTCCCATGTTTCTGGATACTCCTATTTTTCCTTTTGAGGCTCATGTTTCAAGCTGTTGTACCTTCACCATTTAAAGTCTAGGAGTTCCTCAAGGACTGGTCCTTGGTCATCTATGTTCTCATCTATACTGCCTCCTAGGCAATCTCATCCATAATTATTGCATTAATTACCAATCACATACAGATGAACCCTAAATATATACTCTACCCAGTCCTCTCCCCTCATTTCCAATGGAAATAATCTAAAATATAAAATATTAATTGATTAAAAGCTAATTTTCAAAGTAGCCAATTTGCCAAATTATTTAGGATTTAATTTTTTTTGAACTTTTACACTTTTTTTTTCACCTCACACAGTTACTTTTTTGGGTACTATTAGGAATGCTTAAGATCTACTCTCTTGGCAAATTTCAATTATACAATATGGTATTATCAATTACAGTAACCATGCTATATATTAGCTCTTAAGGATTTATTTAAGGTTTTGCCATATCCCTAGCTCTGAAGAAAAAGGGGTATAATTTGTTCTAACATAAGTTAAGGCATTTTTTTGGCAGTTTCAAGGAGATTATCAAACAACTGATTATTTGGTACATTGATTTTCAATGACTTGAAATGAATGATCAAAAGCCAGATCCAACTGCCTCTTCCATATCTCCTCTTTTGGATATCTAAGGCATCTTAAATCCATCATGTCCAAAGTTGAAGTTAAAATATTTCGCTTCAAACCTGGTCTCCACTGCCATCCATACAGGTAAACCAGCCAGAAATTTTTAGTACTCATTATTCCATCATCACCATTACCACCCTCATTAGAAGCTTTTCAAGCCTGGACAAGTCTCCTCTCTGATCTGCTCATGCTCACTCTGGCCCTCTTCAGTCTATGTCCACCCTGAAAGATCTTTTCAAAACACAATCTAATAATGGTATGCACCTGTTAAAAACAAGACAACAGGTTCAATATGGAGTTCTTATGCTAAGACCCACATAACCAAGCCACAGCTTAATTACAGTTTCTGTTCTACCAGAAATGGAATCTTAACTCAGTCAATCAGCACTAGTTTGTAATCTGCCTGAGAGACCCCTGCTGTCCTCTAAAGGAAAGTAACCTTACAATAACTAACCCACTTTTTTTGCCTCATATAACTTTCTTATTCTTATTCCCTTCTGCCTATAAATCTTTTGTTTTATACAGCTCCTTGGAGCTCCTCACTATCTGCTAGACTGGATGCTGCCTGACTCATGAATCATTGAATAAAGCCAAAAGGATTTTTAAAAGTTACTCAGTTGAGTTGTTTTCTAACACACCTAATTATTCTGCAGCTTACACTAGTGCCATGATTTTCCATTACTTTTAGGATAAAAACAAAAATGTTTAATATAAGCTTACCAACGCAATGATTTGGCACTGCCCTACATACCCACCCTCACTTCATACCATATTCTTCTTTGCTCCTTGCACTATAGCCACCCAGATCTTTTTCCCCTCCTCACATGTATCACATTCCTTCTTGTGATGGCACCTTGATACTTGCTGTTTCTCCTGCTGAAATTCTCTACTCTCAACTTCCTACAAGCCTACTTAACTCTTATTCACAATTCACATTTCATGTGGATATTTATTTGCCCAGGGAATATCTCCCCGAGCTACCTAAGTTACTTCTCCAAAATATGCTCTCAGTATCTTTCTTTCATGGCACTTATCACAGATATAATTTGCTATTTATTTACTTCATTGATCAGCGTTGGTTTTGTCCACCAGACTGCAAGCATTGTGAGGGTGGAGGGCACCTATTTTTATTTGTTTGTTTCCCTCACCCCTTTATCTCCAGAGCCTAGTGCAATACCCGGCATTGGATAGGTGTCTTTGAGTATGTCATCATATGCTGTGAGATGAAATGGGAAGTGTGCATAAAGCACTCTGTTGCATTCCAAAGTACTATTGCTGTCTTGAGAGAAAGCACTGTGATTCTTTGAGCTGCGAACTGAACTTTTTTTCATGGAACATGATTTTTACTTGAAAGAACAACGGACAGACAAATTATGGTTATTTAGACTTAGGTATCTGGCAGGCACTTTCTTACAAATGAACAAAGTCAGCTATCACTTAAAGAAAACAACTGACAATATTTGTTGCCAGTAATAACATTTGAGGTTTCAGTAAAAATTAGAATTTGGGAAAACTTGTATACACCACCATGAGTTTGACGGCTTTCCAATAAGTAAAGAGAATATTATGACAATATCACTGAATGTGATTTTAAAAATGTATTGTATGATAAATATGTCAACATTTGGAAGATCTGTATAACTGAATCTTCCATTTGATGTTACAAGATTATATAAGGGTAAAAGATCCATTCAAAGTGCAGTGTAGGCCAGTGGATTTTAACATAACAGATGACAAAAGTTTCAAATTCCACACTGCAACTAAACTTTAAGAAACTACCACTAGCCAAGTGTTGATACAGTATCAAAGAAGAATATTTATAATAACCTGAAAGGGCTATTAAAATACTCTTCCTTTTTCCTATTTCTTTATCTGTGAGGCAGATTTTCTTAATATACTTTATGAAAAACAACACACTGCAACTACTGAATAAAAAAAGCAGATGAGAATATAGCTATCTTCTATTACTCACTGAAGAGATTTACAAGAATGTACATAATGCCAAAGAGTCTGAGAACCACTGCTCTAACAGATGAAAAGGTGAGTAACAGTATGTATTTGCCCTGTAGGAGCCATGACAAATACAGAAGAAATATAGGTAGAATTCTTGACCCAGATCTAGCTTCAAAGCCAGTCCTCTGAATTACTGTGCTCATGCTGGATAGAAGAACTGAACAGGCAGAATATGAACCTATTATAAAGAATATCAAGAGTAAGGTGGTTTTTAAGTTCAATGAACTGAAAAAGAGAAAACAAATGAAAGTTTGTGAAAAGAGATATCAGTCAGAGTTTATAAGAAATATTACTCTAGTAAGATTATATAGCATAATGTCTTTTGAAATACATTACTTGGTTAGTTGTTCTGAAAACTTAACCTATTCCACACTTTTACAAACCAGAGATAAGAAAAAATCTCATAAAATTATTAAGAGAATTTACAAAATATACTTACATTTGGGCTCATCAGTTGTAACAGCCAAAATAAAATCATATGGAGTCATGAATAACTGTCCTTCACATTCTATAGAAGCAAACAAACGAAATCTCCTTTCCCGAGACGTAGCATAGAGGTCTAAGTCTTCGATGTCTGTTCGGTTGATAGCAACCTAAAGTTAAGAAAGTAAATAAATGTGAACTGTGTGAAATAATGTCTCCTTTTAGAAGCTAAATGCTTTTAATTATGCTGAAGGTGAATTAACAGAGTAAATGACCAAGTGTGAAAATACTGTCTTCTGGAGAACTTAATCATTTTATAAATAAATTACCCATGTGAATAAAATGAATTGTTTGAAAGATCCTACCATAAATATCATTAAGGGCCTGAAAATTCTAAACTGGCACTTTAGGGCGCCTGTGTGGCTCAGATGGTTAAGCGTCTGCCTTCGGCTCAGGTCATGATCCCAGGGTCCTGGGATCGAGTCCCGCAACAGGCTCCCTGCTCCTTGGGAGCCTGCTTCTCCCTCTGCTTCTCTCTCTCCCCGCCCCGTCTCTCGTGAATAAATAAAATCTTAAAATAAATAAATAAATAAATAAATAAACTGGCACTTTAAAGGACCAGTAATTTACTTCTGAAGTTTCAGTTTCAGAAAACATGAAATTTTCTGAGCTAATAGTTTCTTTAGAAAGAACACTAACTCTTGCTGAATGCCTACTATGTGCTCTCTAAGTAGCCTTACTGATCTAATCAGAATTCTGTTCAGTAGAGTCTTTGGGTTTTTTTTTTAAGATTTTATGTATGTATTTATTTGAGAGAGAGAGAGAGAGAGAGAAAGAGCACAAGCAGGGGGAGTGGCAGGTAGAGGGAGAGGAAGAAGCAGGCTCCCTGCTGAGCAGGGAACGCCATGTGGGACTCAATCCTAGGACCCCGAGATCATGACCTGAGCTGAAGGCAGATGATTAACTGACTGAGCCATCCAGGTGCCCCTAGTCTATTGATTTTCTAAAAGAAGAAAGTGAAACCCTGATATGCTATTCAGGGCTACCACTAAGGAAACCACTTAGTGGCAGCGCTTAGATTAGAACTGAAGTTGCTAACTCTAGATCACTATAGTACAGTTACTACCAATAGTTGTTCTGAATTCTACCTAAGGTTAAGATTAACAGAATTAGAAGAGTGTGTATAAATGCGGGGGCGGGGGGAGGAGGAAGTCTCTTTTGTTTTCCTTAATTTGAAGACCTTTCTTTGTGGATAATTTTTCACTGTTATTTTCTCTCTGAACCACAGCAAATTTATTTTTTAATGGAAGGATTTTTTTATTACAAAAGTGATGCATATTATTATATATAATTCAGAAGACAGAATTTTTAAAATTTATATAGTTTTTTTTTGGCAAAAATGGGACTACACTACACTGTTCAGTAATCTGATATTTTTCACTTATTAATATATCAGGGCTAATTTCTCATGTCACTAAATACACTAAATACTCTAGTAGACCATTTTTTAGTAACTGTATAAAATTTCATAGTAAATGTTTGTACGATAGCACAATTTATGAATTACATATGGTTGAATATTTAGGTGATTCATAGTATTTTACTATTATAAAACAATGTTAAAATGACCAGCATAGAATATATTTACATATATGTACAAAGAGTTCCTTGAGATAAATTCCTAAGAGTGGATTTGATTGGTCAACCAAAACCTTTTCATATATATTTTCACTCTGCCTCTAGGGAGTTAATAGCAATTTACAAGATTATCAACAGTATAATAATTATATTTTGAACACTTCATAAAAATTATTTTATATTAGAAAAAATTATTTAGGATAATAGAAATTATTATTATGTAAGGCAAGCTTATTCTATTTATTGTCTCTTCCATGTCTATGAGGTCATAATGCAGATTATGTGTAAACTATTAAAATTATTTAAATATCTAATATCTTCAGAAGTCGTATCAAAACAATCCACAAGAACTTTCAACGAGGAGACTACATTTTGTATTTCTAAGTTACACTTTATTAAACGAAAAGCTAGGCAAATGACTCATCTTTTCCCACTATTCTGAAGACTAAGACTTTTAAAAACATTACACAAGTAGTCAAATAAAAACTAAAAGAAAGGTTCACTCCCTACTTTTTAATGGCATGTATAAGAGATAGAATATATAGTCTCTGCCTTTAAGAAATATGCAATGTATATGGAGGGACAAAATAGTAGTTGGAGAGACAAACGGTACAAACATGGAAGAAAGGAATGAGTCAGGTTAGAGTAAATCAAAATAAAAAGCACTATAGAGATTGAGGTTAATAAAATGGTTTCATGGGGCGCCTGGGTGGCTCAGTTGGTTAAGCATCTGCCTTCAGCTTAGGTTATGATCCCAGGGTCCTGGAATTGGGACCCCGCATCGGGCTCCCTGATCAGAGGAGATCTGCTTCACCTTCTCCCTCTGCTGCTTCCCCTGCTTGTGCTCTCTTTCTCTCAAATAAATAAATAAAATCTTAAAAAAAATAAGGTTTCAGGAAGAAAAAATATGAATTTTAATGTCAGGAAAAGATATGAGCATTCTAGGTTTATACAGAATATTTGAAAAGACGGTAAGAACCTTCCCAGAGCAGAGGATCTGCATTCATGGAAAAGGGTAAGTAAACTGATAAGATTTCTGAATGCCAGACTAAAGCACTGGAATTTAATCTGATAAAAAAATGGCTTTAGGAGATTTTTACGTAGAGCAATGACACAAAGAAAATGATGCTCTTTAGAAAGATAACGCAGCTCCAGACGAACCATGAGAGACTATGGACTCTGAAAAACAAACTGAGGGTTCTGGAGGGGTGGGGGTGGGAGGATATGTTAGCCTGGTGATGGGTATTAAAGAGGGCACATTCTGCATGGAGCACTGGGTGTTATACGCAAACAATGAATCATGGAACACTACATCCAAAACTAATGATGTAATGTATGCTGATTAACATAACATAATAAAAAAAAAAAAGAAAGATAACGCAGCTCCATACCAGAGACAAGCCAGTTCAGCAGTATGTTAGTAACAATTACTCAGGTAATCCATAGGTATTGGGAAACTGTTTTGGCTCTGTCATGGGTGAGAAGTGAGACACTGAGCAACTTAATGTCAATAATGGGCAATAATCTCCCTGAATAGTCCTCAGGGATCAGTCTAACATCTTAGGTCCCTTTCTATACATATATTCCAGGGGGTTCTTCCTCCTAGGACAGGGAAATCAACCTTATCTGGGACCACAGTTTACTCTCCTGCTTTCTTCCTGCTAGGCCATTTCCTTGGACCTAACTGGCCCCAATCAACCAAGACTGATTTCCAGAGAATTCCCTGAAGGACCACTCTGTGTGGAGCTCTCATGGTTTCTGCACCATTATCTGAAGCCATGCCTTAGTCTAACATCTTGAACCACAGTTTTTGCCTGTAACATCTTTATTTGTTATCATCTAATATGGACTTGATCTGTGACTTCCGCTTCTACCTGCTGCTGCCATTATTGCTTATGATGTACCTGTGTTTTCTCATGAAACGTTCCTTCCTAAGTGTCTGTCATTGGTCCCAGCACGCCAAACCCGCTTGACCACTGCAGCTGGGAATTTGATCCACCTTCCATGAGCTAATGCTGACAACTCTTCCTTCTCCTTAACTTCTACTAACAATCAATCAACAAAACCTGTTGTTCTCCCTCTAATTTCTCACATCTGCCACAGCCACACTTTTGTGTAAGCACACACTACTTCCCTAAAATTTTACAGTAATGGCCTGTGATTTTTGCCTCTAATCCATTCTCTACTGAGAGAAAACAGGCAGAACTATAGGATGGTGTGAATCCTTTAACCACCTGAGTAAGTTTCAGAAAAAAATCTGATCAAGTAGAGTTAAGTTTTCACTTAAACTCCACTGTAGGAAAGAAATTGAAGATGGCACAAAGAAATGGAAAAATACTCCGAGCTCATGAATCGGAAGAACAAGTGTTGTTAAAATGTTTCTATTACCCAAAGCAATCTACACATTTAATGCAATTCCTATCAAAATACCACCAGCATTTTTCACAGAGCTAGAACAAACAATCCTAAAATTTATAGGGAACAACAAAAGACCCCGAATAGCCAAAACAATCTTGAAAAAGAAAAGTAAAGCTAGAAGCATCACAATTCAGGATTTCGAGTAATATTACAAAGCTGTAGTGATCAAGACAATATGGTACTGGCACAAAAACAGACACACTAATCAATGGAACAGAATAGAAAATTCAGAAATGGACCCTCAACTGTATGATCAACTAATCTTCGACAAACCAGGAAAGAACATCCTTTGGGAAAAGGACAGTCTCTTTAACAGATGGTGTTGGGAAAACAGACAGCAACATATAAGAGAATGAAACTGGACCACTTTCTTATACCATATACAAAAATTAATTCAAAATGGATGAAAGACCTAAGTGTGAGACAGGAAAACGTCAAAATACTAGAAGAGAACACGGGTAGTAACTTCTTTGACATCAGCCGTAGCAACTTCTTACTAGATTGGGAGGCAAGAGAAACAAAAGCAAAAATGAACTACTGGGACTTCATCACAATAAAAACCTTCTGCAGAGTGAAGGCAACAATCAACAGAACTAAAAGGCAATCTTCAGAATGGAAGAAGAGCTTTGCAAATGACATATCTGATAAAGGGTTAGTATACAAAATCTATAAAGAATTTATCAAACTCAACACCCAAAAACCAAATAATCCAATTAAGAAATGGGCAGAAGACATGAATAGACATCTTTCCAAAGAAGACATCCAGATGGCTAACAGATATATGAAAAGTTGCTCAGCATTACTCATCATCAGGGAAATACAAACCAAAACTACAATAAGATATCACCTCACATCTGTCCAAATGGCTAAAATTAACAACACGGGAAACAACAAATGTTGGCAAGGATGAGGAGAAAGGGGAACCCACTTACACTGTTGGTGGGAATGCAAACTGGGGCAGCCACTCTGAAAAACAGGATGGAGGTTCCCCAAAAATTTAAAGATAGAACTACCCTATGACCCAGAAATAGCACTACTAGGTATTTACCTAAAGGATACAAAAATATTGATTCAAAGGGATTCATGCACGCCGATACTTAATAGCATTATCAAC